GCCGGGAAGGCGTGTGTGGCCGGGAAGGCGTGTGTGGCCGCGAAGGCGTGTGTGGCCGGGAAGGCGTGTGTGGCTAGGGCAGCAGGTGAAGTTCCTGCTGTGCAAGCGTGACAGGCTGATTGTCAGTACTGGCACTCATGCAGAAATTGAGTGTGTGTCTGTAACCCTGGCACTGTGGGGGCAGAGGCAGCCGTACTCTAGCCATAATGGGAACTCTAGGTTCAGTGAGAGATCCAGGCTCAAGGTGGACAGTGAGTGCAGAAGATACCTTCTGGCCTTCATAACCTTGCACACGGGCATGCACTCCTGTGTGCACACAGAATGTGTGTGTGTGTGGGGGAGCTAATCATGGCTGTCCAGGAAGTGATGGAGAATAACACAGCCCCTAGCGCCCTCCCTTCTTCGGGTAGGTTCCACCAGCCACAGTTTTTAGTTCCTTACCAAACAGCGCCAGCAGCTGGGGATCAAGCACTGACATCATCTAACAGTGTGTGGAAGATCTCAGTCACACTGGAACATTGGGTTTAGGCTAGTACTTACCTCCTCCCTCGCCTCGGTCTCCCATTATGACCCCATGTACACTGCAGAGGTCAGGGGGACCCGTCCACCCTTGTCCTCATGTCCGCCCTGGTCCTCACGCGGCTCTCCCTTGCCCCCTCACAGGCTCTCCAGGCCCCAGCCTGCCATGAGAACATGGTGAAGGTCGGTGGCTACATCCTTGGGGAGTTTGGGAATTTGATTGCTGGGGACCCACGCTCCAGGTGAGGGAGCCTCATTCTAGGGGACCTACTAGGGGGCTGGGGAACCCCGTGAGGCTGAGAGCTGACGGGGCTCCTAGGAACCTTGGCCAGCGCGTCTCGGTTAGCCTCGCCTTGGGGAGGGCGGGGGAGGGGCGCGCCTGCTGACCTCAGCCCCCCCACAGCCCACCTGTGCAGTTCTCACTGCTACACTCCAAGTTCCACCTGTGCAGCGTGGCCACTCGCGCCCTGCTGCTGTCCACCTATATCAAGTTCATCAACCTCTTCCCCGAGACCAAGGCCACTATCCAAGGAGTGCTGCGGGCCGGCTCGCAGCTGCGCAATGCCGACGTGGAGCTGCAGCAGCGGGCAGTGGAGTACCTCACCCTCAGCTCCGTGGCCAGCACCGACGTTCTGGTCAGAGCCCCTGCCCCACCCCTCGGGACCACCCCCTCGGGCCATCAGTGCCCCTGACCTCCCGTCCTGCCCGCAGGCTACTGTGCTAGAAGAAATGCCCCCGTTTCCTGAGCGCGAGTCGTCCATCCTGGCCAAGTTGAAGCGCAAGAAGGGCCCTGGGGCGGCGGGTGCCCTGGATGACAGCCGCAGGGACACCAGCAGCAATGACATCAATGGGGGTGTGGAACCCACCCCCAGTACCGTGGTGAGCCCAGTTGTGGACCACAAGGCCAGGCGGGGTCCCCTGTCCCTTGCCCGGGCTCACCTACACCTGTCTTAACTGCAGTCGACACCCTCGCCCTCCGCGGACCTCTTGGGGCTGCGGGCAGCCCCTCCCCCTGCTGCACCTCCGGTTCCTGTAGGGGGGAACCTCCTGGTGGATGTCTTCTCTGATGGCCCCGCTGCACAGCCCAGCCTGGGGCCCACCCCTGAGGAGGCCTTCCTCAGGTACCTCCTGTTCCTGCCCTCCTCGGCCCCGCCCCCTGGCACCTCCTCCTCTGCTGGGTTCTGTTGCCCTGGCTGCCTTATGCTGTCCTTTCCCAGAGCTGTGTCTCAGCCCCCGTTTCCTTCTGAACCCTCTCCTCTCTTTCCCTGGCCCTCTTGCTGCCTCTCTGGGACTGGCTGCCTGCCACACCTGTCTTCTCTGTCTGCTCTGGGATTGGATGGCCCAGCGAGCTGGAGCCCCCTGCCCCTGAGAGCCCCATGGCTTTGTTGGCTGACCCAGCTCCAGCTGCTGAGTAAGGGGTGACCTCTGGCTATTGGGGTTGGTGGATGTCCCCAGGGTGGGCTTCAGGGGTTTCTGATGGCTGACAGGGTTAGAAAACAGTGGAAGTTGGGGTCCTTGGGAGATCCCTGTGCCAGGGCCCCACTCCCATCCCTGAGGGTCTGGGGAAGCTTGGCCTGTGGGTGCTGGGCAGTGTGCCTTCCGAGGGAGTGTTGCCCACACCTACTTCCTGGAGCTGGCGTGCATCTCTCTCCTTCCTGCCTCCAGCCCAGGTCCTGAGGACATAGGCCCTCCCATCCCAGAAGCGGATGAACTGCTGAATAAGTGAGTTCTGGGAGGGGTGAGCAGGGCGGTGGGGACAGTTGGGTGGGGACAGACAGGGTGGTCAGGAGCTCCACCATCCTGACCCCCACCACCCTGCCAGGTTCGTGTGCAAGAACAGTGGAGTGTTGTTTGAGAACCAGCTGCTGCAGATTGGAGTCAAGTCCGAGTTCCGACAGAACCTGGGTGTGTCCTGGTGGCCTGGACCGGGGGGGGGGGGTTTCTGGAGTGGGGGGGGTTCTTGTCAGCAACCCCTGGCTGAGCAGGTGGTAGGGGATGGGATCAGCGGAGCTTGGATGGAACCCTTACCCACCCCCTGCAGGCCGAATGTATCTCTTCTATGGCAACAAGACTTCTGTGCAGTTCCAGAGCTTCTCGCCTACCGTGGTCCACCCCGGAGATCTCCAGACTCATATCCTCTGCTCTTGACCTTGATAGTACCCCGTGGGAAGCAGACACTCAGGGCCATACCTGTTCAGCCCCTTACTCTGAATTAGGCGCAGGCCACTTCTAAGACTGTATGCATACTCAGGGACAGAAGACAGTGACCCAGGGTACAGGACGCGTGACTCCCAGCACCCCAGCTACCTTGCCAGGCACCTTACCTTTACTGGTAGGGTCTGTGTAGGGTGTCATGCCATGGGGCTCGGGCTCCTGCACTCAGGTTAACCAGGGATGCTGGGCACACTGCCAGCCCTGCATGCCTCAGCTGAGTGGCATGCCTCCTCACCCTCCAGGGAAAGTAGATCTCCCTCTATCTGCTTATGAGGACCCGTTGTTTTGAAACATTAGTGCAGCCTAGGCCGGCCTCTACTCACTCTACAGATCGGGCTGGCTTTGAGTTCAAGGTTGAACCCTCTGCCTCTGCCTGTCAAGTGCTGTGATCACAGGTGTGTATCGGTAAGCCTGGCTCCCTGGGCCTTTTCGAAAGAGCAGTTGGGATGTTCTGGAAGTTGTATGGCAGAGCCAGCCCCCCCCATGTGGTCCTCAGTCCACATGTATGAGACTAAGACTAGTCCTTCACCCTCTGCTCCGTTCACCAGCTTTCCCAGAGCCCAAGGCAGACGGCTCTGTGTGCAGTGGAGCAGGGTGGGTGGGTTGTAGGCACCAGCCAGCCTTACACATGTTCTTGACTCGAAGGCAGGCCTGAGTATAGATGGTGACATTAGTCGCTTCCGTCTGGGTGCATGGCCACTGCTATTTAGACAGACATGTTCTGATGGTGAGTGGTTTTGTTGGCTCCTCTGGACATTTACATGTACTCGGTTGCACTCGAGGCTAAGAAAATGCTACCTTGCCCACCGTGATCCATGTGGTTATTCACCCATTTGGGCCAGGAGTGGAGGCCAGGAGATCCCTGGGTGTCCCAGATGTCACGGGTGGAAGGGTGTGGGAGTTAAATGTGGGTGACTGCGTTTGGTCCTCGCCCTCTGGCGGACCCTGGCAGGGGCTCGGGTTGTGCCACTTTGTCCCTGGCTTCCTTGACTACGGGGCCACAGCTGGCGGTGCAGACAAAGCGTGTAGCCGCACAAGTGGACGGCGGTGCCCAGGTGCAGCAGGTGCTCAACATCGAGTGTCTGCGAGACTTCCTGACGCCACCGCTGCTGTCAGTGCGCTTCCGGTGAGTGGGAACCAAGTTTGTAGAGCGTGGGCAACCAGACAGGGTCTTCGGGGATGGGGCCTGGCTGAGCTGCTTCTCCTCTGTTCAGGTACGGTGGCACTGCCCAGTCCCTCACTCTGAAGCTCCCAGTGACCATCAACAAATTCTTCCAGCCCACAGAGATGGCCGCCCAAGACTTTTTCCAGCGCTGGAAGCAGCTGAGCCTGTGAGAGGCGGGGCTGAGGGAGGGCGGGGCTGGGTGGGCGGGGCCTCCAGGGCCTGACCGTGCTTTCCACCTCCCAGCCCCCTGCAGGAAGCACAGAAAATCTTCAAGGCCAACCACCCCATGGATGCTGAAGTTACTAAGGCCAAGGTAAGAGGGAGGCCGGGCATTTACTGGGTGCGGTCTGCTGGGTGGACCAGTTCTCCCCATGAGGGTCTGACCCGGGAAAGCCTGGAGGCCTGTCGCTCTCCTTCAATACCCATCCCATTCTAGCTTCTGGGGTTTGGCTCTGCTCTCCTTGACAATGTGGACCCCAACCCTGAGAACTTCGTGGGTGCTGGAATCATCCAGACGAAAGCCCTGCAGGTGGGGTGTCTGCTTCGGCTGGAGCCCAACGTCCAGGCCCAAGTGAGTGCTGAGGGAGGGCCCGCGACTCCCGTCCCCTGCCCCCAGCGTCCCCTGCCCCCAGCGTCCTGCCTGTGCCTGTCACTCACGTGCCTTACCTCCCTGACCTGGTACCCACTCTGGGGCTCTCTCGTCCGTCTCATACGGCTGCTATGTCCACACAGATGTACCGTCTGACCCTGCGCACCAGCAAAGAGCCCGTCTCCCGTCACTTGTGTGAGCTGCTGGCCCAGCAGTTCTGAGCCCTGGCCTTGCCCTGGGAAGTGGCCAGTGCCAGGCAGCGCTGGGATGGAGGCAGCTGTGGTGGAGGGGGCAGCGAGGAGACCTCCAGTGACGACAGCAAAGACCCCGGGGTGGGGCATGCCTGGGAGCTTCCTCTGGCCTTTTGTATTTTTATTTGTTCATCTGCTGCTGTTTACATTCTGGGGGGGATCAAGGGAAGCACCCTCCCTTGTCCCCCAGAGCACAGAGGGGAGAGGGTCCGGGAGTCCGTACCTCCTCCCCTCCCCCCATTGTCGCCCTCCCTCCCTTTCCCCATCTGGGGCCGTGTATTATTGTGAGCGAATAAACAGAGACGCTACTATTCCCCATCTGTTGGCTGCCCACCTCTGGGTGATCAAAGGAATGGGGTGAGGGCTTGTAGAGTGTGCGTGGCAAGGCCCCGCAGCCCATGGGTCGGGCTCTGAGGAGACAGCAGCAGCAGCAGCAGCCGCAGCCCTAGCTGCACAGCCACCAGCTGCCACCCCACGCCTGGCCCTAGCACGAGATAGCAAGCCCTGGGGCTCTGGGCTGGGTGGACTGCAGCCTCTTCTTTCTCTGCAGGCCCCGGTTCTGGGAAAGCACAGGGAAGGCAGTGATGAGCAGCACAGCTCTGGCCCCTCCCCGCCTAGCCTCGCTGCTGTCACCCTCCTGAGGGTCACGCCCTACGCTCCCCAGTACAGACATCCAGTAGTGCGCACACTGCGATATCTTTATCTGGCTGGGCACCATCAGTCCCTGCCGTCCCCTGGGGCAGTAAAGACAGCACAGCTGCCCAATGTGGCCTCTGCCGGGTCCTCACTCCCCTCGGCTTGAGCAAAGCTCTGCCCGGCGCGGCGTGGCACCGTGGCGGGTGGCAGGGATGGCTCACTGAGCTCGGCCAAGTTAGCCTTGCTTGGCACGTGGGATAGAGTGGCTGATGGTCCTTGCCTAGGAGGGTGAAGCCACACGTCCTCATTTCTTTTGAGGCCCTATATATAACACGGGCCACCCTCAACTCCTGGTTCTCCTGCCTTGGCCAACAACGGGTGGGGCTGAATGAAGTTCCACGTGTGGGACAAAATGCTCAGTCCAGAACCAGGCCCTACTGTGGAAGCACTGGCTGGAGAAGGAATCGAGTACTAAGGCTGACCAGGGCAATTCGGGCAGTCGCTGGGTTCTGTGCTTCCGGGTGTGCATGCCATGCGGGGATGCATGCATGCCATGCGGGATGCACGCCTGCCATGCGGGATGCACGCCTGCCACTCACCTGGAGAGAAGTGTGGGGTGACCACCAGAGTGTAGAAGTGTCTGAGGAGGCGCCTGCGCTGCTCAGGGGAAGGCTCTAGAGGAAAACCGAGCAGTGGTGACTAGGTGGCCTCTAGCCCAAGGCCCTCCCCTCCTACCGCTTCCCTGTGCACCTTTATCCCGCGAGGGCTCCACAGTGAAGAGGCAGCGTCTCAGTTCCAAGTGCAGCAGCAGCAGACTGGGGAAAGGCACCATCAGCCCGCGGGGAGCTGACAGGGCCAAAGGGCCGCTCCGCCCTGAGCCCTGCCCCCCAGCCTTACCCCAGAATGTCGCTGTGTAGCGGGAACCCTTCAGGCAGAGCCCTGGGGCCCAGGGGCAGACAGGCCCGGAGGGGCTCCAGCAGCGGCTGCCACCAGCGTTCCAATAGCTGCAGGAGGTGCGAGGGGCGGGCGTGAGTTCGGGGCTGGGGTGAGGGAGGGAGCCGGCGCCTCGTGGAGCTGGCTTTGGCTACAGAGGTGGCCACAGCAGGGGGCGCTCGCGGAGGGGGTGCGACTGGGCCAGCAGCCTCACCTGTGGGTCCAGCTGGCTGAGGGGCGGGCGTGGCCCACACAGCAGACACAGCTCCAGGCCCCGCAGGAGCGTTAGGGTCAACAGCCGATGCGGGACCTGCGGCCGAGTGTAGGAGGGCGGGGCTAAGTAGGCTGGCCCCGCCCACTGGAGGCCCCGCCCCGCCCCTCCCACTCACCTTGGGGCTCCCGTGAGGCAGGTACACCGGGTAGTCGCGAGCCGCCTGCGGTGGCAGGGACCCCACCAGCCAGGGGAGCAGCACGGCTTCAGGCATGCCCAGGCGCCACCAGCCCTCGGTTGCTGCCACCACTCGGCCTGACACCAGCAGGCTGACGAAGGCCGTGCCAGTGGCCTCCGCGAACCCTGACAGGGTTTCCTGGGTGGGTGGGTGGGGGGGTCAGACTAGGAGTCATAAAGCAAGGAAAGGCCTCTCCACCTGAGCCCGGAGTGGCAGAGCAGCCCCAAGACCAAGGGCGTCATGTCACACCCTCTCTGTGAACAGCATCCTCAATTCACCATGCATCACTTTTTCTTTTCCTCCTTCAGTGATGACGATGTAACCCGAAGCTTTGGGCATGCTAACTAAGCAGCTCCACTGCCGAGCCACACTGAATGTGAGTCAGGCGTTGCTGACCTTAAACTTTGCATCCTCTTTCTCAGCCTCCAGAGTAGCTGGAGTGGCAGGCCCTGTAAAGCCAATGCTTTTTAACAACCGCGTCTACAATTTGATTCCCACTGCTTGCCAAAAAAAGTGCACAATTCATGGTCCACAGACGCTCTGGGAGAGGTGGGACCACACTTCGAGGAGCGGCAGAAAAGCAAGTAGGGATTGGCCCAGATAAGGCAGAGCTCCCTTCAAGGTTGGGACCTGCAAAGTCTTAGGTTTGAGGCCCCGGAGGAAGTTAAAGCTGATGCATGCATGTCACACATGTTGGTGAGCACCAGAGGACACAGGCCTTGGGACACTAGGCAGAGGGGAGGGGGCTTGTCCTAGGGGAAGTAGAAGCTGCAGCAGATAGGGGCAGTGTCAGGGTGAATTCTGGTGAAAAAGATCCTTTCCAAAGAGCTCCAGGCGCTCACTCCAGAATGAGAAGATGCTGGGGTGAGGCCCAGAGATATGCCACACCCATTTCTCCAGCTGCCCCGATCGATACCTGCATGAGGGTCCCCTCTGGGGGAATGACACAGTCCACACACTGGGTCAGGTCCCCGATGAGCTCAGGGTTCCCCAGGAAGCTGTCGATGAGACAGTAGCTGGCCTGGCAGAGACAAAGGGAGAAGCCTAGGTCCAGAGCAGTCCAGAGAACGCCGGGGCCCCTCCAGGGTGAACACCCGAGCTGTCCCACGGCCTGGCGGTAATTATAGTTACAAACAGGCAAGATTTAGGGATCCTAAGTGCACTGGTGTCCTAGAGGCTCACCCTCAATTCCTTCTTCAGTCTCTCTACATTCCGGATATTGGTCAGCTCCTCCAGTCCCACAATGAGAACCTAAAAGAGTCGCGTGAGAAAGTGGGACCCTTAACACAGGGGAAGGGACTCTAGTGAGAGAGGACAGGGCGGGGGTGGTGTGAGGCAGCAGGGAGAGGGCTTCTTCCCGGCCCGGGGTGTGAGGGAGGACGCAGGGGAACGAACGGGCCGAGCGCGCAGAGCTTGAGTTGGGGGACACGAGGACCCAGGCTCACCATGGCCCCAAACACCATGTGGAGCATTCTTTCCAGCATCAGCTCACATGTGCCCTCCTCGGATGACAGAGCAATGAGGGTGATGCTGAGGGGTGAAACAGAGACGCAAGAATGAGGTCAGCCTGGGGAAGGCGGCCAAGACAGCGGTGTCTGTTCCAACACCGCAGACGACACTGGGCAAATCAGGGATCAGAGAGGGTGAGTAACTTATCCAAGAGCCCACAGGCCAGGACTCTGGGATCATCTAAGACAGGGGCCACTGAACAGGTTTGGTCTCTCGTTCCCTCGCTCCCGCCAAGGGACCTGTCGTGGAAGCTCTTCCACACCACGGTTGTGTCTTCCGTCCTTGCGGAGTTCAGCTGCACGTCCAGATTCTGCCCAAACATGTGGACTCCATTGAGGGAACCGACGACAGAAAAGGGAAGCTGGCGGGTGGGAAAGCATTGTAGTCACTCCGAAGAGTGACGTGACCTCCCCACGGAGACCCGGGGGTCCCACTCTGCAGCCTCCTATGGTCCCCCAAAGTTCTTCGGGGAACCAGCCAGCCTCCACTCCCGGGAGAGCTTCCCAAACCCCTTCTCTCAGGTCAGGAACCCAACGCCCCACCTGTTGACGGGAGGGGGCGCCGCCGCCGCTGCTCCTGCAGAACAGGGGGACCCCGCTGGAGGCTGCGAGGCACAGCAGGTGAACCGTGCTTCCTGGCCCCTCATCCCCCATCTGGAAGCCAGAAAGCCACCCCCTGGGGACCTTCGGTGTGGGTCTGGGAGCATGCGGGTAGTCAAAGTTGGCCTGCAGTCCGGAGCCGCCAGAGGGCGAGAAGCGAGATGGCCAAATTCCCGCCTACCTCAACTCAGACCCTCCAACCGGATTAGATTCTCTTCCGCCCCAATCGGAAGTCATCATGACCCTAACAAAGATGGCGACAAGTAGTGCTTGCCAAGCGTTCAAGTTGGTGCCGGACAGCTTCACGTCCATCCTTTGTATACCGAGGATGAAGACGCTAGCTTGAAGACGGCGATGCTGACAAGGTGTTGACTAGCAACCTTCCTGTGTGCCGCAATAATCTGCATGATACTTTTCTTAACAGCTGGTGGAAGATGGTGACAGTGCTAATGCATTGCCTGACAACATTCTGCATGGCTTTTTCTTTCCAAAGTGGTAAAGACCTTGCTTGCCCCACTCAAAGATGGCAGTATGTTCAGGCATTGCCTAGCAACCACTATTGAGACTAATTTCCGCTTTGAAACTGTAAACAGCTGTGCCACCACCTCCCTCTCACTTTTTCAGAGTGGTTTGATCCGGGCAGCGTTGCCTAGTAACCACCAAATGAGGTGGTTGTTTTTGTTATTGGGAAAAAGGCAAAAGAAAACGTTTCCAAAATCATTTAAAAAAAAAAAATATTTCCGTAATGAACTCATGCTTATGATGGCATATCGTGTAGAAAGTCAAAGTACTGAAAACCCCGATCCATGAAACAATAGAAGTTAGCACCGAGTACCAGGACGGATTTTCACAGATAGGATATTGTACTATCATTTCCTCAGCTTTCCTCATCAAGAGCATGGCTAGGGGCCAGAGACGTGGCTGGGCGTATTAGATCACACAGCGCTTACTTTGGAGACCTGTCTGGTGGTCAATCCACTCTTGTGGCAGGAGGGAACCCACTCCACAAAACCGACCTTGGCGTACATGCCATGGCACACGCGATAGTATGTCTACAGCCTTGTATCTTTATTTTGTATTTTTTGTGAGAGACTTTCATTCTGTAGGTCAGGGTGACCTGAAGCTCACTGCAATTTCCCAGCCTTTGGTCACAAATGCCAGCCACTGCCATTCTCCCTCTGTTTTCTTTTTTGTTGTGTTTGTTTTTTGTGTGTGAGACAGGGCCTCATGGAGCTCATGCAGACCGGGACATTGCTATGTAGCCAGAACTGGCCTTGCACCTCTCACCCTTTCTCCAACATCTCCTAGGCCCTCTATGTCTTTTTGTAATCAGTTTTTATGCATGCAAGGAACTGAAAAATCTTCCTTTAATAAATTTGAGATTTCTTCCGATATGTTTCATAGATTGATTTTTTTTTTTTTTGAGACAAAAATCTCCCTGTGTGACAAAGGCTGGTCTTGAACCCATGATCCTTCTGTCCCATCTTCCCCAGGGTTATCATGGCCACACCCTTCTGATTCTGTAAATCTTCCCTGAGTTAGCACTTTTACCAGCTGGGTTACTGTGTGTTTTAGAACAGTTGCTTTCATTTATTAAGCATATTACAAAACAATATTTTTTTCTTTTGTTATTTCAAGACAGGGTTTCTTTGTGTGAAACTCCTGGCTGTCCTGTAACTTACTCTGAAAACCAGGCCTGCCCCTGCCTTCCCAGTGTTGGGATTAAAGGCATGCACTACCACTGCCTGGCCAAAACAATATTTTTTAATGACTTATTTATTTTTATTTCATGCGCATTGGTGTCTTGCCTTAATGTGTGTCTATATGAGGGTGTCAGATCCCCTGGAACTGGAGTTACTGGAGTGAGCTGCCCTGTGGATGCTGGGAATTGACTACAAGTTCTCTGGGAAAGCAATCAGCCAGTGCTCTTAACTGCTGTTGCTCCAGACCCTACAAACAACGTTACTAGCTAACTCCTGATTTTAAATTAATCCATGTTTCCTTTTTTTCTCCCTTTTGTTTGTTTTGTTTTCCAGACTTGGTTTCTCTGTGTAGTAGTCCTGGCTGTCCTAGAACTCACAGAGATCTCCCTGACTCTAACCCATATTTCTTATCTATGCTCTGCTATGTGGCTTGTTGCCTTTTCTCAGAATAGCAAGTTGGTCTCCTCTCCAAGTCTCCTCTGGTTCCCAGACTCTCTTTCCTGTTCAAGCTCTTTTTGTCTGTAAGTCCTGCCTAACTTCTACCTGACCAGCTATTGGCCAGTCAGCTGCTTTATTAACCCAATCACAGTGACAATACTCATAGTGTGAAGAAATATTCCACAAATAATTAATGATTAACAAGAGTATCCTATACATGATGAAAGAAACAGAAGGTACAATAATTTTTGTTTTGTTTTCAAGAGAGGGTTTCTCTGTTTAATAGTCCAGGCTGTCCTGGAACTTGCTTTGTAGAGCAGGCTGTTTCTAGAACACAGAGAAACCCTGTCTCAAAAAAACAAAAAACAAAACACAAAAACCAACCAACAAACAAACAAACAAACAAAACCAACAACAAACAAAAAAGCCAGGTTTGCTCTAGTCACTTTCTTCCTGGTTTTTTTTGTTTATTTTTGTTTTTGCTTTAGTGCTGGAGAAATGGTTCAGTTGCAAGAGTACTTTCTGCTCTTTTGGAGGAACCAGGTTCAGTTGTCAGCACCCACATGACAGCTCACAAACTCCTTTAACTCTTAATTCTGTCTTCTGATCTCCATGAGTGCTACATATAACATATATGTTCATATATAACACATATGTTCATGCAGAAAGATACTCATACACATTAAGCAAAAATCTTAAAAAAAAAAAAAAAACAAAAAGCTGGTTGTGATTGATTGCACGCACAGAGAAACTCTGTTTTGAGGGTGGGGTGAAGGACACAAAATAAAAAAATAAAAATAAAAAACAAAAACCCCATCAAAAACCAGGAATGGGAAATGGCTCCGGGCAAGCATGAGAGCCCGAATTCAGATTCCCTACCACTCACATTTTTAAATGTGTTTGTATCTTTCTTTCCTTTTTGTTTTGTTTTTTTTGAAACGGAGGAGTTTCTATGTGTAGCCTTGACTATTCTGCTGTTCTGGAACTTGCTCTGTAGACCAGGCTGTCCTGGAACTCAGAGATCCTCCTGCCCCTGCCTCCTGTGTGCTGGGATTAAAGACGTGCGCCACCACCGCTCAGCTCTTTTCTTTATCTTTTCCCTGTTTTCCTTTTTTTCGAGACAAGGTTTCTGTGTCTAGCCTTGTCTGTCCTGATACTCTCTGTAGACTTGGCTGGCCTCAACCAGAGATCCGCTTGCGTCCAGTGTGCTGGCATTCAAGGCGTGCGCCACCACCCCTCCCCTCCGCCCCAGCTTTGTATCTTTCTGTTAGTAAGCTTGATTATTAAGTTTCTGTCCACACATGTTACAGTAATTTTCCAGGTCATTTTATATTCATGCCGTTGGCTCCAGTGATGAGTGACTTTTATTTATTTGTTTGTTTATTTATTTTTAAGGAATGTATTTGCCTTGAGCTTCTTTCTCAGAAAACAGGGATCAGGTGTTGCCTAGCAACCTCCACTTAAGTAGGAATTCGCTTCTTTTCGAGCGAAAACATCTGCCCTGGTTTCCAAGTCGTCTGCAACTTTACGGTGTTGCCTGGCAACGCCGTTTCCGAAGACGTGATTGGACCGCTCTCTCCGGTCTGTTCCCGGTCAGAAAGACTAGAATTTATTAACTTTATCTCTGTGTGAGAACACAACGGCTGGGTCCGCGTTGCCTAGCAACCTGGCTCCACAAACTTCCCCTTCAGCTCGGGGTCGGAGACCGACTCCAAGATGGTGACCGGATGTGCCGTTTTCCGATTTGTTTCGTTCTTGATGTTGTGAACAGAAGTTTGTTCGGTCTCAAGAGGCGCCCAGGGGGACTTGTTGTGCCCATTTTGAGAGTTTCGTGGTGTGGGAATCGCCAGGGTATGGATTAAACCGCCACTCCCCGGATGCCCCGCTCAAACATGGCCGCACCGGCTTCAGCAGAGGCTGCCAGACGTCCGGCGCGGGTGAGCGCCTCGCGCAGGCGCACTTCTGTTCGTCCCGGGACGGCGAAGGCGGCGGCGGCCCTGGCGGCGGCGGCGCGGGGCATGGTCCCCGGTTCCGAGGGCCCGGCTCGGGCCGGGGGCCTGGTGGCCGACGTGGTGTTTGTGATCGAGGGAACGGCAAACCTGGGGCCGTACTTCGAGGGGCTCCGCCAGCACTACCTGCTGCCCGCCATAGAGTGAGTGAGGGCCGGCGCGGCCTCCCGCTGCCGCAGCCTGCAGGCAGGGACGCTGCATGCACGCCCTCTGTCTCCGCAGGTACTTCAACGGGGGACCCCCGGCAGAGACCGACTTCGGCGGAGACGTGAGTGTGCGGCCGCGTCGCGGGGAGGGAGGGAGCTGGGTGTGGGCGGGCCTGGTCGGAAGTTGGGCGGCCCGGTTCCCCGCCAGAGGCCCCAGTTTTAAAGTTCTTTTGCCCTGTCCTCCCAGTATGGCGGAACCCAGTACAGCCTTGTGGTGTTCAACACGGTGGACTGCGCTCCAGAGTCCTACGTGCAGTGCCACGCTCCTACCAGCAGCGCCTATGAGTTTGTCTCCTGGCTCGATGGCATCAAGTGAGCCTTTCCTCCTTTTGGGGGCAGGGTGGGTGGGGGTGGGTCCCATGGGTCCCAGCAGAACAAAACTTGTCCCCGGCAGGAATGGGAGCCCGGGGTGGGGGGCGGGGCAGAGCACACAGCCTCGTAGGGTGCTGGCACCTGACACACACACACACACACACACACACACACACACACACACACACGGTAAGCTGTGTGAGTGTCTGCTCTTACCGCTTGCCCTGGCCTCGTGTTTGGTTTGCAAATGAGTAGCAGTGTAGACTGCTGGGTGCTGGAAGGGCCTCTGAAGCTGACCTTTCCGTGTGGATCCACAGGCTGGCTACGGTCAAGGCTTATTTGACAGTGCTGATCTAGGCCTTCCTGATTTGGTAAAGTAGGTGTGCTTTGAATGTCTGCTGTGTCCCGGGTTTGTGTATGTGTGCACGTGCAACACAGTGGAAAGCCGGCCCTTGCACTCCCCTTGAGGCTGTCAGGACGAGTGGTTAGTGTAGAGCATGACTGAACATGACTTCCCATGCTAGTCATTGTTGACACTTAGCACTCAAGGGTTTGTTTTGTTTTGTTTTTGTCTTTTTTTTTTTTTTTTTTTTTTTTTTTTAAGATTTATTTATCATGAACACAGTGTTCTGCCTGAATATATGACTGTACACCAGAAGAGGGCACCAGATCTCATTACAGATGGTTGTGAGCCACCATGTGAGTGCTGGGAATTGAACTCAGGACCTCTGGAAGAGCAGCCAGTGCTCTTAACCCCTGAGCCATCTCTCCAGCCCAGCACTCAAGTGTTTTTGTTTTTGTTTTTTTCAAAAGACTGGTGTATTTTTGTTTAAGGTGTACAAGTGTTTTGCATCCATGTATATCTGTGCCCCTCTTGTGTGTTTGGTGCCCCCTGGAGGCCAAAAGAGGGCGTCACATCCTTTGGAGCTGGGAATCAAACCTGGGTCCTCTGGAAGAACATTCAGACAGAGCTCTAGAAGATTTTTATTTATATTGCCAGGCAATGGAGGCACCTTTATTCCTATCACTTGGGAGGCAGAGGCTGGTATAGCTCAGTGAGTTTGAGGCCAGCCTGGTCTACAGAGTGAGTTCCAGAGCAGCCAAGACTGTTACACAGAGAAACTCTGTCTTGGAAAAAAAAAAATTTTTTTTTAAATTTATTTTATGTACATTGGTGTTTTGCATGTATGTCTGTTCAAGGGTGCCTGCTCCTCTGGAACTGGTTACAGACAATTCTAAACTGGCATATGGGCATAGGCAATTGAATCCTGGTCCTCTGGAAGAGCAGTCAATGCTTTTAATGGCTAAGCCTTCTCTCCAGCTCCAGAAACTGGATAATTATTTGTTGTGAGGGCTGTTCTGGGTGCGGTGAGATGTGTGTTTATGCTGCTGGGACTGAACCCAGGGCTTTGTCAGTGCCCTGCCTCTGAGCCATATCCTAGCACCTCAGAGAATGTTTAACATTGTCCCTGGTCTTTACCTGCTAGCTGCTGGTGGCTCCCCTACACAGTTGTCTGTAGGCATTGTTGAGCGACTCCTAGAGGGCAGATGGCACCTTAGTTAAGAACCGCTGGGCTAGATTGAAGTGAGACCTGGAGTTCTGGGAAGGCGCAAGGTCCACACTGCTGCATGTCAGGGTTGGCGTACATAAGGCCGCCATCACACTTGGTTAGGCATGAGTCTGAGAGCCTGTGCCAGCCAGCTCTGTTCTGTTGAACTCCTGCTTGGCTGGTAGGTCTCCTGGGTACATTTCTGTGCAAGGAACTTGCAAGACTTTTCTTATGGGCCAGTTGTCTGCTTCCCGTCACTGCCTCCGCTTCTGGACCTCCGTGGAAGTCCAGGTACCTGCTGTCTCTCCTCTAGATGCTTCCAAGTAGGGTCTGGCTCCTACAGGGCTTAAGCAGATAACTGTGTAAACAATGGCTGATAGCTGCTGGGAAAGCTCCTCAAAGACACCAGACCTCTGTGGTACAGACTGTAAGAAGACTGGGCTCCTCCCTTAGAAAAAAGACTAGCCATGGGCACTTGAAGATAAAGGGAGATGCTATCTGGGCAGTGCACTGTGTCCTCTCCTCCATTGTACACTTAGAGCCCTGTAACACAAGTGTCCCCATTTGGAGGCCTCTGCTACTGCTGGGTTTCAGCGTTGTTTAACTCTCTCAGAATCACTGTTTTGGTCAAGGCCTGTGGCCCGTGTCCAGGATGTTCGGGGCAGGCCTGGAATGGGAATCAGAGTCGGTAGGACTTGTCCCTGCTTGAGAAATCTCACCTGCTGCTTTGATGGTGGTGCTTGGAGACGAGGCACACAGGGTGTTAGGAGGCAGCCTTGCTCTGGGCTTCTTTGTTTGTTTTTTTTTTTTTTTTTTTTTTTTGAGGCAGGGTTTCTCTGTGTAGCATTGGAACTCGTGGAGATCTGCCTGCCTCTGCCTTCCTCCTGGTGAGATTAAAGGTGTGTACCACACCACTGGCTGGGCTATTTTTCTCAGTTAAAATGTAGCTGACAGCACTGGATGTAGATGTTCAGTAGACAGGAGTCCAGCTTCCTGTGCCTTCACAGGAAGACAAGGACTACCCCTGTTCCATCCCAGGATTCCCGTTCCTCCTAGTTGCTGTTCACATTTCCTCTGCCTCAGGAGAGAAGGATGGGACAGGATCCAAGACCCAGGGTGCTTGGGCCTGAGGACACTGTGGAAGCTCATAGAGATTTCAGGTGCATCTGTTCATCAAGCCATGCCCAAAGTTTTGTGTGGCCTCTACAAATTATAGAGCCGTAGCCAGTGGGTGGAACTCCTGAGTGAAGGCTGCAAAGGTAGCCATGATGGGTGGGGCTGGGGAGGAGCAGCTATGGTGGTGGATGTGGCTTCCACAGAGTTAGGACCTGTACTGTGATGGTGGTGTCAGGTGATTGGGCTTCCTGGAGGAGAACATGGTGTGCACATATCAGGATAGGCAACTTGGACTAGCACCCAGACCAGTGTAGTAGCTTTCAGGAAGAGTCTGGGTAAAGATAGGTGTGTCGACCATTCTGTGTGCCTGGCAGACAGAGGGCACAGCAACAGTGTAGGCCCAGCTAAATGTTCTACTGGCTAGACAGCCATTTATTCATCTACCAACCATTTGTAACATACCCCCCCAAAAAAACAAACAAACAAAAAAACAGGCTTCTCTATAGCTTTGAAGCCTGTCCGGGAACTCACTCAGGCTGGTCTCGAACTCACAGAGATCCACCTGTTTCTGCCTCCTGAGTGCTGGGATTAAAGGCTTGCGCCGTTGCTGCCGCCGCCACGCAGCTACCATAGGCCTGTTAAGGACTAGACAGGTAGACCAGGCTGGAGACAAGAAATGAGAGGGCTCAGGCCCTGTCCCTGCCTGTGGAGGGACAGTAGGGGTGGGCTTCCTATGCGGCCATAGGAAAGCACCAGAGTTTTGGAAACAGTATAGAGGCTGCAAGGCCAAGGCCAGAGCTCTGGCAAAGAGGAAAACCCCTGAAACATGGAGGAAAGGCTCCTTCCTGAGCTCTCTGGCTGCTACTGGCCAGGAACTCTGTGACTTGGTCTGCGTATAGCCTGTCTATGTTTGCTCCTACCTTCCCCTTTTTCAGAGAGATTGGGGTGCTGTCTCTTCCACTACAGTAGTGGAAACAGTAGTGACTGTTTCCAGGAAGGGTACTGTGGTTAGCCCGGCCACGTCACTGCGAGTGCTTTTCACTGGTAGCACTGGAGGAGGCTGTCTACGATCGTGCTACTCCCCACCCTCCCAGGGCTGAGGAGGAGGGTTACCAGCTGCTTCCTAAGAGAGGCTGGAGAGATGGCTCAATAGTTAAGAGCACTGGCTGTTTTTCTAGAGGACCAGGGTTTAATTCCCAGCACCCACATGATGGCCCCAGTACCAACAAAATCCTATAAAAGCCAGACATAGAATGTTTACCTTTAATCCCAGCACTTGGGAGGCAGAGACAGGGTGGTCCCTGTGAGTTCCAGGACAGCCTGGGCACACCAGTGAGGCAGATGGCCCCTTCAGGAAAGGACAGCAGGAGGATGGTCAGGGCACAGAGGCCGGGCTCAGTGCTCTGGGTCCTTCTCTCCCCTTTGCTGATGCCTTTTCCTGTCTTTTTCTCCCTGCCCAGTGCTGCTGTCACCCAGTAAAACTCTGAGGATGGCATCACATAAGAGCCAGCACAGTGTGGGCGGGTAGGGAGGGGCTAACTGGCTGTCCCACAGGTTCATGGGCGGTGGTGGCGAGAGCTGCAGTCTCATTGCGGAGGGTCTGAGCACTGCCCTGCAGCTGTTCGATGACTTCAAGAAGATGCGTGAACAGATGTGAGTATGCCCACCTCCTGGGAAATCCTCCTCAGTCACACCCTGGAGGGGGAACAGGAACAGGGGCCCTGTGCAGGCCAGGGCAGCCCAGTACCCTCTGACCAGACCCTAGCTAGGGACCTACCTCCTGGCGCCTTATCCAGTAATTGACTTAAGCCTGAGAGCCTCAGAGCTGCCAGCTGCAAATGATCCCAGTGGGTGAGAACGTGACCTCCAGCTTCCAGTACCTGCTCCATTCCTTGACTTTGTCCCTAGCAGTGGCCAGACACATCGAGTCTGTCTCCTCATCTGCAACTCGCCCCCATACCTGCTGCCTGCAGTGGAGAGCACCACATACTCAGGGTGCACGACGGAGAGCCTGGTGCAGAAGATAGGGGAGGTGAGTCTGGGGTGCGCACCCCGTGTGCGAGGGAGGAGGCTGGCCACACCTCGGGAGCCTCAGGAGCAGGCTGGGGTCGGAACCCTGAGTCAGAATAGGCAAGGGCTCTGCCCACTTATGATCGGCCATACTCAGGGTCCCCTGGGAAAGCGGTGCCAGCCTTTGCCACCCACTCCCCGGCAGTCTGGTGAAAGCTGTGGGGGAGGCTAGCCCAGACACACTTATGGAGGCCTCGCTCTTACCCTGCCCCTTCCTGCAGCGTGGTATCCACTTCTCCATCGTTTCTCCGAGAAAGCTGCCAGCCCTCCGGCTCCTGTTTGAGAAGGCAGCTCCCCCTGCCCTGATGGAGCCATTGCAGCCACCAGTAGACGTGAGCCAGGACCCCAGGCACATGGTGCTAGTGCGTGGGCTCGTTCTGCCTGGTGAGGCCTGGGTTTGGGACGTGGGGGGAGCCCCTCTTGAGCACGCTCTTGATGGACTCTGTATTCCTCTTTCCTGCTCGCCACCGCCTCTCTCGGGCCTCGGCTGTCTGCCCTGTGCTCAGTTGGCGGCAGCTCAGTCCCAGGCCCTCTGCAGCCCAAGCAACCAGTTCCTCTGCCACCAGCTCCGTCCTCAGCAGCCCCCCAGCAGGCTCTGCCCCCTGTCCCACCGCAGTACCAGGTAAGGATGTTACCTGGGACCCAGCTCCTAGAGCCTTGCAGAGCTGTGGCCTCATAAGAGGACCTAATGGAGCACTGGGTTACAGTGTGAGGGAGGGCCCCCCCCCCAGCCAGGAGATGGCCTCTGTGCTGATGGAGTCCAGAGCTTCTGGACCCTGAGAACTGTATAGTTTGCCTCATCTAGGGGTGATGTTCTTCTCCCCATGTGACAGGTCCCTGGGAACCTAAGTGCTGCTCAGGTGGCTGCACAGAGTGCTGTGGAGGCCGCCAAGAACCAGAAGGCTGGACTGGGCCCACGCTGTGAGTCCTGGAAGCGCAGAGGGGGTTGGCTTCACAGGCCTTATGGCCCTGTTCCCACTCATGTTTGTCTTTCCCACAGTTTCACCCATAAATCCTCTCCAGCAAGCTGCTCCAGGAGTGGGGCCCCCCTTCAGCCAGGCCCCAGCACCCCCGCTGGCTCCTGGGCCTCCTGGAGCCCCCAAGCCGCCTGCTGCTTCCCAGCCTAGCCTGGTGTCCACTGTGGCCCCTGGGACAGGCCTGGCACCCGCGGCACAGCCCGGGGCCCCCTCTATGGTAGGCACCCTCTCAGCACCCAGCGCTGTTCTCGGGGGCCTGGGAACAGATCCAAGCTCGTGCTGTGCTTTGCAGCTCAGGGGCAGGCCTGTGGGCCCCCAACTGTTCTGGGGTGCCCTATAGCTTTGGGACTCTAGATCCTCATGATTGCCATGGGCGGTCCCTGACATGCCTGGTGATTGTAAAGGAAGCACCTTTGTCCCGCCCCTGTTAGGTAAGGTCCCCTCACTGCCATCTGTCCTCAGCAGGCAGGCACTGTAGCCCCAGGCGGGGTCAGTGGTCCTTCACCAGCCCAGCTTGGGCCTCCTGCCCTTGGCGGGCAACAGTCAGTGTCCAACAAGCTCCTGGCCTGGAGCGGGGTCCTCGAGTGGCAGGAGGTGAGTGGACTTGAGGGCTGGCTGGCAATGTGGAACGTGAGTTTCTCCCAGAGGGTCAGCGCTTGCTGCTGGAGGTTAGCCCAGGGGAAGGCTAGGGTTTGTGGGCCAGGTGTCACAGTCGGGGTTTAAGTGTTGAGCTTCCTCTTGGGCCCCTGGAGAAAGGACAGCTCTCCAGGCCCGATGGGACCAGAAGTGACTCGGTAAGCAATGGGAGAGAGCTCACCGGGGCACAGCCCTGAGGCCAGCCCTCACGGAGACGCCTGAGGGCGAGTAGGCGTTGAGGCCGAACAGCCGAACTCTGCTCTCAGGAAGTGTGTCAGGTGCAGCTCACCAAGAACGGCCGCTTTGGTGCTCGGTGGTGACTGCTTGAGGGAAAGGCAGAAGTTCTGGTTGCTGGATTTGGTCAAAAGGGTCATGCTCCGGAGCCCACCTTAAGGTGGTTAGAGTAGTCAGCGTGGCCCTTTTGACCCTGTACGAAGGCAAGAGGAGAGACCAAGACCATAAATGTCGACAGTGCAGACACAGTACTAAATTTTCATGGGGGGGGTTATGTTGAGTCAGGTAGTGGTGATCCGTGCCTTTCATCCCAGCACTTGGGAGGCAGGGGCAGAGGCAGGTGGATGTCTGTAAGTCCACGATCAGCCTGGTCTATAGAACAAGTTCCAGGACAGCCAGGAGTGTTACACAGAGAAACCCTGTTTCAAAAAACAAAATCGGAGGGGGGGGGGGGGCAGAAAAAGATTACTTTGAAGCCAGGCATGGTGGTGCACGCTTTTAATCCCAGCACTTAGGAGACAGAGGTAGGCAGATTCTGTAAGTTCAAGGCCAGCCTTGAACTCTACAGAGTTCACTCTACAGAGTGAGTTCCAGTCACAGCTAGAGACATATAGTGAGAACTCCACCCCCACCCAAAAAAATCTATGTTGAAGCTCAGTAGTTGAGCAATTGCCTACCAGGCACAAAGCCTCCATCCCCAATCTCTTATCTCTCTCTCTCTCTCTCTCTCTCTCTCTCTCTCTCTCTCACACACACACACACACACACACAGAGCAAAACCTAGAATTTGGGCTCCCCCCACATTCTGGAGGACAGTGATTATAAGACTTTGGGCCCAGAGGAGGGGCCCAGTATTTGAGGACTTTGGGAGCATGAGTTGAGGTGCTGGGAAGGTAGGAGAGACTATGGGAGCTGGTGGAGGTTGAGTCAGGAGGCCCTGCCTGATTAACCATTTCTCTTTCAGAAACCAAAGCCTGCATCTGTGGATGCCAACACCAAGCTGACGAGGTCTCTGCCTTGCCAGGTCTATGTGAGCCATGGAGAAAACCTGTAGGTATTTGTCAGGGTGGGGCAGGCCCAGCCCGCCCCACCCCGCCCCTGATTCTCCTCTTCCTGTGCCCAGGAAAACAGAACAGTGGCCCCAGAAACTGATCATGCAGCTCATTCCTCAGCAGCTGCTGGTGAGCCCTGCCCGGCCATTAACCCTGTTTCCCACATAATGCTTCTCCTACCTCGTGTTGCCGCCATATGACGCCTGCATTTTTCCAGACAACCCTGGGCCCACTGTTCCGGAACTCAAGAATGGTTCAGTTTCACTTCACCAACAAGGACCTGGAGTCCCTCAAAGGCCTCTACCGCATCATGGGCAATGGCTTTGTGAGTGTTGGGCAATGGGTGACCACTAACTTCCGTCCCCTTCTCTACCCAGGGGCCTAGAGCTAGGAGTTTCTGTCTTTACCTTGGGTTCCCTTTGTGGCGCTGCAGTTAGGACCTGGGCCTTGCTTTACCTCGTGTCCTAGCCCTGCTGCATCCCTGTCCCACAGTACTGTATGTGTTGATGATTTGAGATAAGTCTTGCTGTGTAGTAAGGCCTCCACCTGGATGTCCTTCTGCCTCAGGCTCCTGAGGGCTGGTTTGTAGCTGTGTGCTGTCCGGCCTGGCTTCTCTGACCCTCTTCCTTCCTGTGTCCTCACTCTGTTGCATAGGGCTGGCCCTCATGCCTCATAGAACCTTCCAAGCGAGCTCACCTTCCTGGGGGCTAGTGGGTTGGAAGTTGTGTTTGGGGAAGACCCAGGCGCCTGTGTGTACTGCATTGGGAGCGATGACTTCTGCCCAGCCGTCTCCCAGGCAGATGCTGCTGGTCATGAGCCTCTCAGCCCTTTTCCCCCCAGCTGACACTATTGCCTGCTGTACCTCAGGCTGGGGCTGTTGTCAGGAAGGTCAGCTGGGCCAAGGACCCTCTGGTGTGCTCTGCTGGCTTCCTCAGTGAAAACACTGAATTCTGGGGGAATGTTCCAAGATGGAGTAGCAGGAACTTTGCTGTAGGCCAGGACGCAGAAGAAGAGCTCAGTGCTGTCAGTGCCTAGGCCTTTCACGGCACAAGATGGCTACCTCAGCTTCTGAGTCCTTTTAAACGTTTGGAAGAGGTGAATCTCATTCAGGAAATGAGAGATGGCCACAATTTCTGACCAGGCCTCCTTTTCTCTGGGTCTGTCTGGGTCCCTAGACTGCATCCCTGTAGGGGAGGACACTCCACTACACTAGCCTGGGTGGCATTGCCTGTTCTGTGCTGGACTAGGGAAAGGAGAGGAGTGTGTTGATGGGCACCAAAGCCAGTTAGTTCCCTGAGAGCCCGTGGAGACACCCTGACTCCCAAAATGGCTGCCTTGTGATGTTGCCATTCTCTGATCCACGCTGGTAGGCCCTGGCAGAGAGAGAGAGAGAGAGAGAGCCACCCTCAAGGGTCTAATCCCATCTTCCTGGCATCTTCCGCAGTAGAGCCCTTTCTAGTGTGATTGGAGGAGGCCAGCCAGTGCTGTGTAGTGAGACATGAGGCGGGTCCTGTCAGTGACCTGCTGTCTTCCCTATCAGACATGAGGCGGGTCCTGTGCTGTGACCTGCTGTCTTCCCTCTCCTCAGACATGAGGCGGGTCCTGTCAGTGACCTGCTGTCTTCCCTGTCAGACATGAGGCGGGTCCTGTCAGTGACCTGCTGTCTTCCCTGTCAGACATGAGGCGGGTCCTGTCAGTGACCTGCTGTCTTCCCTGTCAGACATGAGGCGGGTCCTGTCAGTGACCTGCTGTCTTCCCTCTCCTCAGACATGAGGCGGGTCCTGTCAGTGCTCAGCAGATGCTTTGGTCTGAGTGCCTGTCGCTCTCAGTCTTTTGTTTCCAGGGCAGCTGCCAAACTGACCTGGCCTCCTTGGCCTTGTACAGTGAGCTGAGCCCTCCCTACTTCTTAGGCATAGGGCTTGTAGAATTTTTTTTTTAAACTATTTATTTATTGTGTTTGCAACATTCTGCCTCCATGTATTCCTGCTGGCCAGAAGAGGGCACCAAGTCTCATTACAGATGGCTGTGAGCCACCATGCGGGTGCTGGGAATTAAACTCAGGACCTCCGGAAGAGCAGTCATTGCTCTTAACCTTTGAGCCCCCTCTCTAGCCCCGGGCTTATAGGATTTTATAGCTGAGGTAGGGTAGTCCGTGACTCCCAGGTGGGCTGCTCCTGAAGAGTCTCTGTCCACAGGCGGGCTGCGTGCACTTCCCGCATACAGCCCCGTGCGAGGTGCGCGTGCTCATGCTCCTGTACTCCTCTAAGAAGAAGATCTTCATGGGCCTCATCCCCTATGACCAGAGTGGCTTTGTCAACGGCATCCGCCAGGTCATCACCAACCACAAGCAGGTCCAGCAGCAGAAGCTGGAGCAACAGCGAGGGGTGAGTGTGGGGGTGGCAAGCCAACGGCCTCTCCTGGCTCCCCAGAGCCCGGTCAGCCAGTCAGGAAGCCTCCCGTGTGATGCCCAGGACTCACCTGAGCCCGTGTGCCCCGTGTGTCCCAGCAGGGCAGCTCTAGTCCCTTCTCAGTCTCCACTTGAGTCCCTGACATAGGCCAGGCAGGGCGTGATGCCCCTGCTAGACGGTGTGTCCCCAGAGGAAGGCACCCTGCTCCTGCACACCAGGTCCGCCAACAGTCAGACGCCTTCCCTCACCACTGACCTGTCCTCTCTGTCCCCGTGCAGATGGGGGCGCAGCAGGCACCTCCAGGCCTGGGCCCCATTCTGGAGGACCAAGCGAGGCCCCCGCAGAATCTAGTGAGGACGCGGGTGGGGACTGGTGGGCGGGGCGGGGTGGGGCAGGGTGGGGCAGTGTCCTACTACTTATCCTCCCTCATGCTGTCTGTTGCCCAGCTCCAGCTCCGTGCACCACAGCCCCAGCCTCAGGGTGCTGTGGGGGCCTCTGTGGCTACAGGGCAGCCCCAGCCCCAAGGCACTACCCAGGCCCCCACGGGACCACCCCAGGGTCCTCCAGGAACGGCCCCTGGCCCACCTCCATCTGGACCCATCCTTCGGCCCCAGAACCCTGGGGCCAACCCCCAGTTGCGGAGCCTCCTCCTTAACCCACCACCGGTGAGACTTGGGGATAGAGCAGCCGGAATTGCAGGTTCTTCCCCGGGGTCTCTGGGAGGAAGAGGTGGGCTATGCCAGCAGGGCCTTCCTGGAGCACAGGCTGGGCCCTCTGAGCCATTGTTTGTCTTCCCCAGCCCCAGACTGGGGTCCCCCCACCCCAGGCCTCCCTCCACCACCTGCAGCCTCCAGGGGCCCCTACCCTGCTGCCTCCTCCACATCAGAGCCTGGGGCAGCCCCAGCTGGGGCCACAACTCCTGCCCCCTCCACCGGCCCAGTCGTGGCCCACACAGCTTCCCCAGCGGGCTCCGCTGCCAGGTAAGGGTGTTCTAGGGGAGGGTGGAGGTCTAGTCTGGGAGTCCTTGCAGCCACTGGCGAGGACCCCCTTACCAAAGGGCCTCCATAGCTCTAGGGGGCTCAGAGGGCCATTGGGAAGCTCAGCCGTGGGAGCGATGCTTCAGTGAGTGAGAACTTCCCACAGTTCTTATCTGCCGCCCTGGGATGCTGGAAGATGCCTTAGGGTCAGTGATGCTGTTGGGGGAAGGGCTCCCAAAAGGTCAAAGGAAAGTGTCTGTATCTAGTTGGGCTTAGAAGGATCTCTGGGTCTGGCGGTCCCTGGAGCTTCTAGAAACCTGACTACCTTGGGTTCCCAGAAGAGGAGATGAGAGGCCCAGGGTCCTCAATGGCCCCAGGGACCACTGGGAGATGCAGCCCTTCCCACTGCCCCCCAGGTCAGATGCTGCTGAGCGGGGGTCCCCGGGGCCCGGTCCCCCAGCCGGGCCTGCAGCCCAGCGTCATGGAGGACGACATCCTCATGGACCTCATCTGAACCCAACACCCAATAAAGTTCCTTTTAACGATGCCCGGCTCCCGTCACTGACGCCCCTAGGGCTGTCTTTGCTCTCGCCTTGCAGACTCCCCAAGGCCCCGGCTGGGTGATGCTGGGCCACGGGGTGAGTTGGAGGCAGCATGTTGTGGCCTGGTTCTGGGAGAGTCAGAGGCAGGTGGGCAGATAGTGTACAGCTCATGTGCACTCGAGGGTTACAGAGCCCAGAATGCCTCTGACCCAGCCAGGGTTCCGAGGGGCCTGGAAGGAGAAGCAGCAGTTGGGAGCCAGGAGGTACTAAGGTGCAGCGAGCCAAAGCCTCAGAAAAGGGACGTGCAGGGTCAGGAGGTGCATACTCCTGGCGATGGGCATGGCAGGGAGGAGCCAGGCTGGAATGCTTGAGCCTGGTCCCGGGCATGCAGGGCCAGGGAGGTCGCCAGTGGCACTGCTGTCAGAAAGGCTGATGTGTAGGAGCAGGGCAGGCAACAGGCAAAGTCATGGGACATGGCACGTGCTACACCAGGGTCAGGGTGTCCCCATGGGACGGTGTGCTGTGCTTGAAGCCGTAGCAGTTCAGGCTGCACACAGCAGGTGCTGACCGGGTTCCACTTGGAGGTGTGGATGGTTGAGGTCTTGCAGGGTCTTCTCAGGTTTGTCCACAGGTGGCCTCCTTGGAGATGCTGTGAGATGTCTGTCGCACAGGCACGTTAACTGTGAGTGTGGTCTGTGCCTGGACCACCACTGCCTGAGTTTGGGACACTGGTTAATGTGCAGTCGCCCACCCATCCCAGGAGAGAGGCTTCAGTCTAGTGGCCGGTGGGCCACCACAAATGACTTTTGTTTGGCCTTCCCTGTGTTAGCATGTGTCACTTTCTTCCTTCTAGTTAGCTGTGAAACTCAAGTGAAATTCACACACACACACACACACACACACACACACACACACACACGCACACACACACGCTCCCCTCAACATGTCAGATACCGACACCCTGGGTCTACCCTCTGCCTGGCAGTAGTAGCTGGGTGAGCCCTGTCAGCGGGGCTCATGCTCTTGGCTTCGCCACAGTCCCACCACTCTCTTGCTCTTCCACGGTGAGGCCGGAAAGCCCGGCCTCTGTATTGAGGCCGGCACCGTGGTGGTCCTGTGGTAGCATTCAGAGAAAAGTGAAATCTTTCTTGTACCCATGTCTCCTTCAAAAGTGGCCAAACGAAAGAAAGAAGGAGAGGGCCGCGTGTTTCGAGAAAAATGGGAGCGAGACTATTTCTTTGTGGAAGTGAAGAGCATGCCTACGTGCTTAATATGCAAAAAAAACGTGTCAGTGCTGAAAGAGTACAACCTGAAGCGCCACTATGAGTCCCAGCACAGCAAGAGCTACGACCAGTACACAGCGCAGAGCCGCGACCTGCTCCTGCAGGAGCTGAAAAGGGCCCTCAGAGCCAGCGAGGCGCTGGAGAGCCACGAGTAGGAGCCAGGAGCGATGTGGGAAGAACTTCCGTGTCCCGAACAGAGCTGCATCCTCAAGGCTGTCCTGCGAGTCTGACAAGCTTTTGCAGGCTGAAGCACACAGGAGTCAGAGGCCTTAGAGGGTCCAGTTGCCTGATCCACAGCTGCGGCCCTTTGATGGCTGTGCAGAAACTCTGACCACGTGGTTAGCTTTATTTATTCGTGGTGGTGGTGATCTCCGTGCAGCTGAAGAAGTATGCGATGGCACCAAGCCAGCCCCTCACTTGGAAGTGGCTTGCTTTCATGCATGTACATGTCAGAATTCATAAGCACAACTACAGCCCCGTCACAGTGACCGGGCCACCCTGTACCTCATCCCACGTGGTACTGTTTGTCAAGGACCCGGGTCAGGTCCTAGCCTCAGTCACCAAGGACTCCAGATGAACTGCGCCGCCTTCACACTGGCACTCCTGTCCTTGAACTGAGCCAATTGTCTGAGACCGGAGTGTGCAGGAAATCGGAACTGGCCTGCTTGTTCATTGTGAAGTGCAGAGCCCTGCCCTGGCTCCCTGGAGGTCAGTTAGAATCTTCTGGTTGAGGGTCCCACCCTCTGAACACTGAATCTGTCTCAAGCAGGGTTATTCACGAACAGCTCCTGAATGTATGACTGTGGTGTGGTCCTGGCAGACGGATGCCATTGGCGTGGAACCGTGTGACTGCTAACCCTTGCTGCAGCTGGCTTCTGGAAGTGAGAAGTGGCCAGGACCAGTCACCCACACTGTGAGACCCAAGACCAAGCCCTCCCGAGGGCCACACGCTACTTGAACCTGAGCTAACACTGGCTCACTTACCCTTACCGGTTGTGTGAACGCAGACCCCAGTGCAAGCTGCAGTGCAACAAGGTGCTTGCAATTCTGCAATATGGCAAGGTCCCTCAGCCTCTGCCCAGCAGGGCCCCAAGTGTCTGGCTGCCCACACTTGTGACAGTCACTGTTTTCATTACAGACCTTAATCAAAATGCCATTTTAAGGATCAAGGTTGCTGTCCCATGCAAGGCCCGGCACTGGCATCTGGGTGTAGAAGGGCAGGTGTCAGCCTTCTAGCCTCCGCTCAAAGGCACAAGAGAATTACAAGAGAGAAATTTTAATAACTAAATATTTCTATTTTTCAATTTGTATTTTTTCAATTTTGAATTTAAAGTATGAACTCTAGTGTCATACATGTTTGTGTTGTGTTCCATGCGTTCACCATAGCTCAGTAAAGATCCAATTTGATTATCCTTCTGGCCGTGGGCTTTCCTTCTCCCTGACTAATCCACCCACTCCACTCGTGGGACAGCCTGGCTCCTGCTGGCTGGTGAGCTTCTGCACCTGCCCTGGGGTCTGGATGGGAGGGGCCCTTCCCCTGGGTGATTCTCACAAAACTAAAGACGTAACAGGGGACCCAGGTGGCAGCTGAAGACGTGAAGGCAAGGTGGGACTTGGCCATGCAGCCAGTGTGTGCCCGTGGCTCCGAGGCATGGGATGCTAGGGACTGTGGCGAACCTGGAGAGTGCTTGCCCCCCCGGAGGCCTTCAGACCAAAACCACACACACCGAGGACCAAACAAAATCTGCTGTGCGACCTTGGAAGAACAAGACTCCAGCACCAGGACAGGCTCGGTGGAGACCCGTGTTTTAAGGGGTGGGCAGGGGTCAGGAAGCTGGGAGAAGCAGGCAGGTTCTCAGAAAGTGAAGTGAATGATGAGCGTACCAGGAAGGCACCAGGCAGAGGTTCTAGAGAAATGGGGTTTGCCCTCAGAGTGAATTGAAAATGGTTGTAGTGGGCCTGGAGGTTAAGAGTGCTGCTCCTGCTGAGGAGCTGAGTTCAGTCCCCAGACCCATGTCATGTGACTCACAAACACCAGGCCTGCACTCTGGAAGCACACATTGCTGTATTTATAAGTAATCACTTTGGAGTTTATGGCAGGTAGTGGTGCCAAACTGGACCAAGAGTGTTCAGTTCCAGGAAGAACTGGCTCCTGGCCTCCAAGGACACCTGCACACATGCATACACACAGTTAAAAACCACAGGAAAAGAATGCATGAGCCAGACGCCCTCCCAGCTGCTCAACAGGCTGGCCTCTCGGCCACATTCCCCGTGTGTCAGTGTCGCCCTGCCCCAGGATTCTAAAGACTGCAGTGCCACGCACAGGAAAGTTGGGGACTGTGGTCACCGAGCAAAGCCAAACATGGCCAAACCTCACAACACAAACCAACCAGGTCGCAGGACCAGCCAGCCGGGAGCCAGCATAGAGCTTTGCAGGTTGGTTGGTTGGTTGGTTGGTTGGTTTGGAGGGGGTCTCATTGTGTATGTGGACCAGGATGACCTCAGACTCAGAGATCTGCCTTCAGTGTGCCTCCTGAGTGCTGGGATTAAAAGTCTGTGCCACAGGACAGGCATGAAGGTGCACGCCTTTAGTCCCAGCACCTGTGAGGCAGAGAAGGTAGATCTCTTGAGTTCAAGGCCAGCCTGTGATACACAGAGAGACAAATTTTGTGCCACCCTGTCCAGAAACGTCGCTGTTTGGACCAGGCCTGGGCCTGGAGGGGACAGGAATTTAACAGAGAACAGAACGATGAGAGAGGAGGGTAGCCAGGCTTTTTCTCCTGGAGGGCACTCAGGATGGCGAAGCAGGCACAACAGGAGTTTAAGGCCGGCCTCCCGGGTCCTCACAGACAGGGTTACACAATAAGACCAAGGTCAAAATCAAAACCGGCAGGATATAGTTAGTGTGTAGAGTATTTGTCCAGCTTCCAGGAGAGCCCAGCCTCCAGCACCACAAACACCCAACACTGACAGTTGCAAAACTGTCACGACTGGAGTTTTCAAAGATGGCCACTCACCACACCTGAGGGGAAGCTAGGAGGAAGATAAAGTCTAAGAGAATGTCAGATCAGTGGTGCTAGCTAGTTCATTAACTCCTGTGCCAGGAAGGCCGGCCACGGAGGCCTTGTCTCAAAAACAAAAGGAAAAAAAAAAAAAAAAAGGATATTTGAGGAATGTTTGTTTCAACATACACCAAGTGTCTGAAACATATTTTCCTGTTGTCAGAAAGTCCTGAACTGCATGGTTATGGGTGAGGGTGTAGGATGGAGAGAGGGTGGGTTCCGCCCTGAGTGTTTGCACTGAGAAGGCTGAGGTTAAGATGACCCTGAACTTCAGGCTCTCCTGGACTGCAGAGTGAACCTATTTCAAAAGGAAGGAAGGATGGACGGACGGACAACGGGCTGCAGGAGTGGGTCAGAGGCTAAGAGCACATACTGCTCTTCCAGAGGACCTGGATTCATTTCCCAGCACCCATGCCAGCCAGCTCACCGATCCTTCTGGTTTCCAAGGGCACCCACACATCATAGTCACATAAATACAAAATAAAGTAAACCAAAGCAAGTCTTTTTAAGAAAAACAAAATAAAACCAATAAACAAAACAAATGACAGCGTCTCTAGGCAGTGGTGGCACACTTTTTACCCCAGCACTTGTGAGTCAGTGACAGGTGGATCTCTGTGAGTTTGAGGCCAGCCTGGTCTACACAGAAAAAAAAAAAACGCCACACCACCAAAAAAAGTGACAACTGCTTCACTCTTCACTTCTTACCCAAGTGGCCAATCAGCTCTCAGGCTCGGGGTGTGGCTCACTGTAGAGTTCCTGTCTAGAATCCACCAGTGAGGAGTTGAAGGCATGGCTCGGTGTAGTTTTGAACTGCCTGTACCGGCTCTTGGCTTCCATCTCCAGCCCACATCAAGATGTGGGAAAACGGATTACACTGTCATGACTCTGGGACTGATTTATGAGGGTTTGGTAAATTCAGTTCAGGTTATGAGGGTTTGGGAGGTGTATTCCTTTTCCAAGAAGAAGAAAAGAAGAAATAATTGTATGTGTGTATGCTGGTACTGACCAGGCACCAGCTCTCCCTCCATTCAAGTGGAGGCCAGCTTTGCTCTGCTTTCCAGAAGCTGCGGTAGGCGGTAGGGATGCTGCATTTCTCCACTAGCGTGTGCCATCCACTGATTAGAAGGTACTTGACAGACAGGGGCCACAGAAGGGTCAGAGGAGTGGCCAGAAGCGGCAGGTAACTCCCGTCCATGTCAGCTACAAGGTGGGGTTCAGCTAAACTGAGGTTGTAGTCTTTTGTTTCCGGTTGTCTAGTGTGTGCACCTACCCCTGCCTGCGTGCAGGTCAGAGGGCTCCAGGGGAGCTAGCTCAGTCAGGCCTTCAGGGGAGCTAACTCAGTCAGGGCTCCAGGGGAGCTAACTCAGTCAGGCCTTCAGGGGAGCTAACTCAGTCAGGCCTTCAGGGGAGCTAACTCAGTCAGGGCTCCAGGGGAGCTAGCTCAGTCAGGCCTTCAGGGGAGCTAACTCAGTCAGGGCTCTAGGGGAGCTAACTCAGTCAGGGCTCCAGGGGAGCTAACTCAGTCAGGGCTCCAGGGGAGCTAACTCAGTCAGGGCTCCAGGGGAGCTAACTCAGTCAGGGCTCCAGGGGAGCTAGCTCAGTCAGGGCTCCAGGGGAGCTAACTCAGTCAGGGCTCCAGGGGAGCTAACTCAGTCAGGGCTCCAGGGGGGTGAACTCAGGTCTTCAGGCTTGGCAGCCAGCACCTTTACCAACTGAGCCATACTGAGCCTCACAGAGCCCTTTCAGAGTTAAAGAAGTCCAAATGTCATGCTCAATAAAGAGAAACGAAGTTGGTCGTAGTGATGCTGGCGTGGGAGGATGAGACAGGAGGCTCTTGTCTGAGAATATCCCCGGGGACCGAGTCTTCCTAGGTCTTAGGTTAGGAGTCCTGAGGGCTGAGGGAGGAAACAAACCTGAGGAGATGGAGGCCAAGGCTCTTTTCTCCTCGCTGGGGGGGGGGGGGGGGTTGCTCAGACACAGGTTAGGGGTGGCACTGTCCGTAACTGCTTAACTTCTGTGGGGTCTTTGACCGCTGCATGGCCATCGACCTCACTTAGTCCAGGCTGGATCCTGGCTGGAAGCTGGCCATACCTGTCTTTGCCTCTTGTTCCTCATGGCCATCCCTCCAGGCACAGATTGACCCAGGTTCGCACACAACACACATTACGCGTGGTATTTATGCCTCTCTACCCAGGGCCGCACAATTCCCATGGCAAACCCCTTTTTTAGGCATTCTAATGTAGTTCAACTTGTTCTCAAAACTCTGGAAGTAGCAGAGGATGACCTTGAACTAATCTTCCTGCCTCTACTCCTGAAGCGCTGGGATCACAGTCCTGTACAACCACGTCTGATTCATGTGATCCTCGAATGGAACCAAGGGCTCTCGGCATGCTAGTTAAGCACTCGGTCACCTGACTTCCAGCCCCTGCTCTGCCCTACCCTGCTCTTTGTGTGTGGTGTGTGTGTGAGAGAGAGAGGGGAGAGGGAAAGTCAGAGGTCAGAGGATTACAGGATCACTTTTGAGAATCCTCTCCTGTTGTTTCAGGTTCTAAAACTCAGGTCATGTCAGACAGACAGGCAGCAAGTTTCTTTCTGCTGAGCCATCTCACTACATGCCCTCTGTCTTGTTTTATCTTTTAGACAGGGTTTTTTCTGTGTAGCTCTAGCAATCTTGAACTCTGTGTAGACCTGGATGGCCTCGAACTTAGAGATCTGCGTGCCTCTGCCTCCCGAGTGATGATGAGAGGCTGCACCCAGTTTCCCTTGCCTTTTTACTTTAAATTTGTATTATTTATTTTAAATGTTTCCTTTATGTACTTTATGTTTATGGGTGTTTTGTCTGCGTGTATGTCTGTGTGTACTTGCCTGGTGCTTCTCAGCACCGGAACTGGAGTTAACAGGTAATTGTGAGCTGCCATGTGGGTGCTGGGGACCAAAGCTGGGTTGTCGGAAGAGTAAACCTGCTCTTAATTGCTGAGTCGTCTGTCTCTCCAGTGCCTCCCTTTGTGGACAGGGTCTCACATGTGTGGCTCTGGCTGCCCACAAACTTGCAAGAATAAAAATAAAATAAAATAAAATAAAAGGTGGTGGCGCACGCCTTTAATCCCAGCATTTCGGCGGCAGAGGCAATTGGATCTCTGAGTTCGAGGTCGGCCTGGTCTACAGAGCGAGTTCCAGGACAGCCAGAGCTACACAGAGAAACCCTGTCTCTCCAAAAAAGTCGGTAGTAGTAGGGGGCATCTTGGCTCATGCCTTTAACCCATGCTAGCACTAAGGAAGCAGAGGCAGGTGAATTTCTGTCAGTTCAAAGCCAGTCTTTTCTGTATAGTGAGTTCCAGACTAGCTAGATCTACATAATGAGACATAATGAGTCTAAACAAACAAAACTGCCCCTTATAAAAAAAAAAAATTCAGACAAGCCCACAGACTCAAAAAACAACACAACAAAACTTGGCAGTGACCTGTTACAGCCTGCAAGTGTGGTACCATGTTCCCTGCATCCCTGTAGCCACGTGAGTAGTGGTTGTCTCAAACCCAAGAGGAACCTCATAACTAGGGCAGGTTGGCAATGCCTGTGACCCCAGCACTCAAGCAGCTAAGGAAGTAGGGTCTGGAGTTCAAGACCAGCCTGGACTACATTTTCCTAAAAACAGTGACAAGGTGGGAGAGGTCTCTCAGCATGTAAAGGCACCTGCAGCAAAGCCTGAAGACCTGAGTTCATCCCTGTGACTTCTACAAGTGAGCTGTGACTTGTGTGTGTGTGTGTGTGTGTGTGTGTGTGTGTGTGTGAGATCTGAGTTCATCCCTGTGACTTCTACAAGTGAGCTATGGCCTGCGTGTGTGTGTGTGTGTGTGTGTGTGTGTGTGTGTGTGTGTGTGAGATCTGAGTTCATCCCTGTGACTTCTACAAGTGAGCTATGGCCTGCGTGTGTGTGTGTGTGTGTGTGTGTGTGTGTGAGATCTGAGTTCATCCCTGTGACTTCTACAAGTGAGCTGTGACCTGTGTGTGTGTGTGTGTGTGTGTACATACAAATGCCAAAATAAATAAAAACAGAGGCAGGAGTATGGCAGAGGAGTTGCTCTTCTAGAGAGGACCCAGGTTCAAGCCTCAGTACCCGCATGGCAGCTCACAACCCTTTTTAGTCCCAGTTCCTGGGGACCCTAAGGCCTCTTTTAGCCAGGACAGGCCAGGGCAAGCACAGGGTATACAGGCATACATGTAGGCAAAACACTCATGGACACACAGAAATACAAAACTTTAAAAATAAGAAATTGTTCCCCTGGGGGCTGGAAAGATGGCTCAGAGGTTAAGAGCACTGGCTGCTCTTCCGGAGGTCCTGAGTTCAATTCCCATCACCCACATGGTGGCTCTCAGCCATCTGTGAGGAGATCTGGCGTCCTCTTCTGGTGTGCAGGCATACATGCAGACAGAACAGTATATACATAATACATAATCAAGTCAGTTTCCTCTTTAAAAAGAGAGGAATTGTTCTCCCTGAACAACTCGGCCTCGCCTGTTCTTCAGTCTGACTCCCTGCGTCTGTGAGGGCAACGCTGGCTTTACCCCACTCTCCTTGCAAAATCCTTTGGCTCAGCTTCAAAATCTATTGTTGCCACTGACTGCCACCGACTGCATTGCAGCCATCCTGCCCTCCACCAGCCAGCCTCGGGCTCTTGTGCTCACACTAGTTATTGTTGCAGCTGTTGAGGCAATCTTGTAGTCCAGGCTGGCTTTGATCTCACTAGGTTGCCGAGGATGGCTTCGAACTCCCGATCCTTCCCCTTCACCTCTTAATTACTGCCGGGTACTCCTGGGTTCTCCATTCTCTTTTTATTTATTTGTTTGTTTTGAGACGAGGTCATGCTAAGTTAGTTGCCCAATGAGGTTTTGAAGTCCCTTTATAGCCTAAGCAGGCTCTGAATTAATGTGTGCATGTCTCATGGACTTGTGTGGGAATCAGGGAGCGCTCCGCGGGGGTCGATTTGCTCTTCCCACGCAGGTAGGGGAGATTGAACCCAGGTAGTTATGCTTGATGGCAGGCAAGAACTTTACAGCTGGGTCCTCCCAGCTTATTTTCTTAAATCAACTATAAAACATGAGACTAAATAAAGGCAGCCCACTGCCCAGGGCATTTGTTACAGTTGACAGACATCAAAGCTTGCAGTAAGTGCTGGGAGGGCCCAAATAAAATTTGGTGAAAGTAGTGTGTGGATCATCCAGCCAGACATGGTGGACTACAAGTAGGTTTCCTTGTTTAAAGGCAAAGGAGAGCTTGTCCTAGCACACGGGGGTGACAGCCATGTGTGGTGGTGCACACCTCCAGTATAGGGGGTGACAGGAGGCTCCGGCCTTCGAGGTCAGCCTGGGCTACGTAAGCTAACATTTAAGTAGATAGATACGCCAAGCACTTATCATAGTAATCAATCTGAGCTCAGGTACTCTAAGGCTAGGTAATATCACAGGTGAAAAACGAAGAAATACCACTGCTCAGTCCTTTCAGATCAAGGAACCTGGGGGGAAGGCACAAGGGGCGGTGGGCGTGCCCACGGCGAACGGGCTCCCCGCTAGGCCGGCTCTCCAGATTCCGCCCAGGCCGCGCGAAGCCCGCTGGGAGTTGTAGTCCTGTACGCACCTTGCCACGTCACCGCCTCCCAGACGCAGGGACTCGGTTGCTTTCTCGCATCCACCCCTCGCCCTATTGGTAGGTCCCGTCGCGCCGCCCATTAGTCTACCGCCTTGTGTCCCCCAGCAGGAGGACTTGGTATCGTCCCACCAACCCGAACTCCGTTGCCCAGTTCCAGGCTCTCCCTCCCGCCGTTCCCAAACCTGCAGTCGCCCCTCTGACGTTGGTACGCGCCAGCCACACCCCCTCCCGGCCCTCCCTGAGCGCGTCTCCCCCCCCGCCCAGCCCGTTGGTTTGCGCCGGCTCCCCCTCCCGTCCTCCGTTGGTTGCAGCCGGGCTCCCCCGCTCGCCGCAGTGGTTCGGCCGCGGCGACCCCTCAGCGGCGCGTCCCCCGCTGCCGCGGTCCCGCTCCGCGTCTTCCCGGAGCCGCGATCCCGCGCCTGTCGGTCGGCGGAGCCCTAGCCCCCCGCGAGGCCCGCGGCCTCCCGCTCGCCATGGTCCGCCCGCGCCGCGCCCCGCACCGCTCCGGTGCCGGGGGCCCCCTCGGAGGTCGCGGCCGGCCGCCGCGGCCCCTGGTCGTGCGCGCTGTGCGCTCACGGTCCTGGCCCGCTGGCCCTCGAGGCCCGCAGCCCCCGCGGATCCGGGCCCGCTCGGCCCCTCCCATGGTGAGTCCCCGGGTCTGCTTCCAGAGCCTTCCACGCACGCCCCGCCCTGCCGCCCCTCCCCTGGCGGGAGCCTTTGTCCGCAGCGCCCACGGGTCTCCCGCGGGAGGGCGCACCCGGGGTCCCGGATCGGCCCTCGCTCGGCTCCCGGCTCTCCCCTTTGTTGCGCGGCGGCCTGGGCGGGGGGCGGGGTACGGGGGCGGGGCGGGTTCGAATTACCGCTGACCGCGCGGCCGGCTGCACGCGCGCGCGGGGGGCGCTTGGCGTGCGCGCTCGTTTTTTCCAATTGCAAACTTGGTCCTCGGGCTCCGGGTCTGGAAATACGCGAGGCGGCCGGCGGAGGAGCCCGGCGTGTGCACTCGGGCCCAGCTGTTGCTCGCGGGGGCGTTGTCTCCCGGGGCCAGATGGCGACTGTGGACAGTCCCTGCATTTGCGCGCCCGCCCGCCCGCCCCGCGGCGAGCCCAGACCTTAAGCCTTAAGGTAAACACTCAGCTCTGTAGGTTCGCGTGGCTGTCGCCTCGGCCCACACTAGAACGTGTGCGCACTTTCTAGAAACATTGAGGTTGTCTTGGGGAAAGAAAACTGCCCATTGTGATGGTTGACTCGTGGCCACACCTGCGCATGCCTGGCTCGGCTCTGACCACTTCAATGCCCTGTGACGACGTTGCCCTCAGCGGAGCTGAGGCGGGTTTGCCACTCGATCGGCTGCGGAACGCAGACACACCCCTCGTCGTAACGCAGCTTAGGCCTGAAGCTTTCCCTTAGCGTTTGACGCTACTCCTTGGGGTCCGAGATGGGTCCAGTCCCCACACGTGGCTTGGCTTGGCCATGCAGTGCGCAGCAAGTCAGGCACGCCTGGACACAGATTTAACTTCGGAGCCATGCTTAGCAGAGTCCCCAGTTTGCTTCTAGCGTGTTCCCCTGCTGTCCGCGGGGTGCAGGCAAAAGCACATCATAAGCAACGTAGTTTGGGATTTCGTCTGGGTCCTTAAGAATGTTTTTGCCTGATTTTCATTTAGGCCGGACTGTGTGTGGTGGTGCACGCACTGACTGACGCGTGTGGCCACGTGTAGTGTTGTCTCAAGGCACGTGTGCAGGCCAGGCAGCCCAGTGCCCCTTTGCTGTAATCCCGGGGGCTGGGTGCTGCAGGGCAGTCCTCATCACGAAGGCCCCCCTCAGCAGGGTTAACTGACGACCTAGGCTGGTCTACAACTTGAGACGCCGGGAGAACACTTTCTGGTTTGTCATCACGCAGGGTGTAAAGGCCTCTTGAGCTTAGAAAAGAGCAGCGGATTCCATCGCAGTTATCTGAAGGGTCTTCGGCCTGGAGCACGCACGGGTCTGTCTGTTCAAAGGCTGGTCCAGGACCCGCTTGTTTATTTGGAAATGTTTCAGCTGAAAAGAGTTTAGCTAGCACCCTGGGTGTGTGGAGGGGGGGGGGGGGCGGCTGCACTTGGCACCACCATGCAGCATTTATTCAGGTCAAACGATTTGGTACAAGGGAGCCTCTGGGAGTCTCCGATTTTTCTCCAGATTGGCCTTTTGACTTGGTTTCTGGTTGATGCCTCCTTGGCATCCTCAGGGAAGGCCATCCTTTGTGGGAGTCATCTCTTGGGGGTGACAGTGGCCTTAGGATGGCCCTGTGCACTGGGTCCCCAGATGCAGCTCACAGCCTTCTGACAGCTTGATCTAAGGGTGAGAATGCCGAAATGGTTGCTTTAAGGGCTTGACTGCGGGGGGAGGGATTGGGACCTGGAGTGTGCACCAGGGGACTGAGTCTGGACCTGAGGATGTCCCCTCTGGGAAGTATGGAGTGGCCTAGCTTTGAATGACCTGAGAATTGTCCCTTCTGCAGGAAGGAGCTCGAGTTTTTGGGGCCCTCGGGCCCATCGGGCCCTCCTCACCCGGGCTGACTCTTGGGGGACTTGCAGTGAATGAGCACCGGCTCAGCAACAAGCTGCTGGCCTGGAGTGGCGTGCTGGAGTGGCAGGAGGTGAGCCCGGCAGGGCCCTAACCCTGGGGCTGCTGGAGGTTACGGAGCCTGCGCACTGTGCTGAGTCCTCCACCCCTTCCTGCCTGCAGAAGCGGAGACCCTTCTCGGACTCCACAGCAAAGCTGAAGCGCACCCTGCCCTGCCAGGCCTACGTGAACCAGGGCGAGAACCTGTGAGTGTGGGAATGGGCAGAGCCTGGGGCAGCCTAGGATGCAGGGAATGGCTTCTGATGCACTCCCCACTGCAGGGAGACGGACCAGTGGCCCCAGAAGCTGATCATGCAGCTCATCCCACAGCAGCTGCTGGTGAGTCCATGGGACCGTGCGTGCCCCAGAACCTTGGCCCTGGGAATAACCCAAGCCCTGCCCCCAGAGCCAGACTCCCACCCCTGGAGCTCCCCATACTTGCCCTTGTCGTTCACAGACCACCCTGGGCCCCCTGTTCCGAAACTCTCAACTGGCTCAATTCCACTTCACCAACAGAGACTGTGACTCGCTCAAGGGCCTCTGCCGCATCATGGGCAACGGCTTCGTGAGTGGGGATGGGGCCCTGGGGGGGGGCCTAGTTCTGCCCTGTGATGGCTGTCTTTCTGTACCTCTTAAGTGGTTGTTTGTCTGTCTTAGGACCTTGGTGGGTGGTGTTGTGAAGCACCAGGCACGTGAGCCTGTTAGTTGGCCACAGTGCATGGTGCTCCGTCTCCTGCCTGAAATGAAGCCCAGCCGGCCTTGGTTCTTATGGCTGTGTGTGTGTTGTGTTGTGTAGGTGTGGGTGTGTATGTGTGGTGTGGTTGTGTGTGTGGTATGTGTGTGGTTTTGTGTATGTGGTATGTATGTGTGTGGTGTGGTTGTGTGTGTGGTGTGTGTGTGGTTTTGTTCATGTGTGTGTGTGGTGTGTGTATGTGTGGTTTTGTTTATGTGTGTGGTGTGTGTGTGTATGTGGTGTGGTTGTGTGTGTGGTATGTGTGTGGTTTTGTGTATGTGTGGGGTGTGGTTGTGTGTGTGTGGTTTTGTGTGTGTGTGGGGTGTGGTTGTGTGTGTGTGGTGTGGTTGTGTGTGTGTGGTTTTGTGCATGTGTGTAGTGTGTTGTGTATGGTGTGGTTGTGTGTGTGTTGTGTGTGTGGTGTGTGTAGTTGTGTGTGTGTGGGGGGGTGTGGAAGTGGTTGGTGGTGTCCTTGTCATCTGGTGGCCAGCCCCTACCGTTACGGGCCCATTCTGAGGTCCCTGGAATGTAGCGGGTGGCAGGGCAGGGTGGGAGGAGGTCACCATGCATGCAGGGGAGTAGACTCTAGACTTGTCCTCAGCTCTGCTGTAGGTTGGTCTGCTCCTCCCATTTGGCCACCTCTAAGGATGTGTCCCTTTTCTGGGCCCCACAGACTGGGACATGTGAGGCCACAACCTTGTGCCAGCAGCAGCTCTGGGATAGTATCCTGGAGCTGGGCCCGAGGCCTGGAGAATTAGCTCCAAAGGCTGGCCAATGCGGTACAGGTTCTTGTCCATCCCGGCACAGGGTGGGGTGGCCTGTGTGTCGTCCCCCGTTGGAGAGGGACTGGCCCCTCAGCTGGTGCCCTGTAGTTGTAGCTGCGTGGCAGTCAGTGTATGCTGTTGCTGTCTTACAGGTGGGAAAACTGGGCTCCTCAGATGGGAGGTGGCTTGCCGTGGGTGCACAGCAGCCTGGCCTACCTACCGCCTGTTCGAGAGCTTAGGGATTGGTTTTTGTTTTTATGGCGTGTGTGATGTGCATGCCTGGTACTGCAGACACAGAAGAGGGCGTCAGATCCCATGGGACTGTGTGGAAGATTGTGAACTGGGAACCAAACCTTGGTCCAAACAAGAACAGCCAGTTCTCACTGCTGAGCCTTCCTCCAACCCCTGGCACCTGCAGCCCGCAGCCAGGCTGGGGTCATGGACACACACACACACACACACACACCCATAGAGGTCCTTAGCTCCCACCTGTCCTGCCTTATAAGTCAGGGACTGAGGAGGAGGAGGCTGGGGTCATGGACACACACACACACACACACACACACACACACACACACACACACACACCCATAGAGGTCCTTAGCTCCCACCTGTCCTGCCTTATAAGTCAGGGACTGAGGAGGAGGAGATTGACCTGCTCTTGGGAAGCCTTGCTTGAGCTGTGCTGTGGTGACCCTGGCCTGTCCAAGCAGCTCAGATGCTCAGTGTGGAGGACAAGGCCCTGATCTGCAGCCCTGTCCCCACAGGCGGGCTGCATGCTCTTCCCCCACATTTCCCCGTGTGAGGTGCGCGTGCTCATGCTCCTGTACTCCTCTAAGAAGAAGATCTTCATGGGCCTCATCCCCTATGACCAGAGTGGCTTTGTCAATGCCATACGGCAGGTCATCACCACCCGCAAACAGGTGTGCCAGCTGGCCCCACGGTTTGGAATACAGTCAGCATTTGACGGGTGTGGGGTGCCGTGTGAGGAGGCAGTGCACTTCCCGACAGGGCTTGGAGGGAAGAGTAGCTTTACAGGCTTTGAAAGGGACAGGGGACAACCAGGGGGTGGGTCCCGGGTGAGGCCTCTGGAGGGTGACCGTGTGTCCTGGCACCTGGCCAGAATGTCGATGGCCGCCTCCTGCTAGCTGCTAAAGGTCTTGGGTCATTTAGGAGCACAGGATGTTGGTGGTGAGGACCAGTCTGTGGCCTGCTGGGGTTGTGGCCAGGGCTGCCTGCCGGCAGCTTATTGGTGTCCTGTCCACAGGCTGTGGGCCCTGGAGGCGTGCACTCTGGACCCGTTCAGATTGTCAACAACAAATTCTTGGCATGGAGTGGTGTCATGGAATGGCAGGAGGTGAGCTGCGGTGCTGTGGGGGCTGGCGGCCCTCCCCCACCTCCCCTGAAGTAACCTCTTGCTCTGCCCCAAAGCCCAGGCCTGAGCCCAATAGCCGGTCCAAGCGATGGCTGCCATCCCACGTCTACGTGAACCAAGGGGAGATCCTGTAAGTGGGTGGGGCTGGGGGTGGGCAGGCACAAAGGCAGTGGCGGCCCTGTGGGTGGACCTGTGACTAACCTGACGTCTGGTATGGCAGGAGGACAGACCAGTGGCCGAGGAGGCTCTTCATGCAGCTCATCCCACAGCAGTTGCTGGTGAGGGTGCAGGGGTGCCAGGCTGGGCGCGGGCGGGCGGGCAGAGCTGCTGCCTGGCTCGCACACAGAGCTAGGGTTGCACACAGTGTCCCCGGCCTTCCCGCAGACCACCCTGGTGCCACTGTTCCGGAACTCACGCCTGGTGCAGTTCCACTTCACGAAGGACATGGAGACTCTCAAGAGCCTGTGCCGGGTCATGGACAATGGCTTCGTGAGTGCCGGGCAGCCAGAGACGGGCTCCTTACTGCGTGTAGAAGCTGTCTGGGGTGGGCCTACCGCCTGCTACACAATCACATGTTCAGTCCCCCGCAGCCCTCACGCCCTGACTGACTGGTGGCCTCTCCTTACATAGACACACTGTTCTAGCAGGGCCCGTAGCTAGAGAGGGCCCGCCTTCTAACAGTCCCCCATGCCTGCTTAGCACAAGACTGCCAACCACACTGCAAGCCGTTGAGCTCGGCCCAGAATTCCCAGGGTAATTGGGGGCCTGTAGCTCCCAAGGTCCTCATCTTCCAGCTCTGGGGCTTTAGTTTCCATTTGTGAGCAGGTGATCGCTGAGCTGCCCGGGGTGGGGCCACATGCCTGCCTGGCAGCCTTGGATCCCTGGGATCTGCTTGTAGGGGTCCAGTTGTTGCCTGGTAGGTCAGCTGTGGCTGAGGGCGTGGCTAAGTGAGCGCCCGCCTGACTCGGGCCTGCTGTTAGGCGGGCTGCGTGCACTTCTCCTATAAGGCCTCCTGCGAGGTGCGCGTGCTCATGCTCCTGTACTCCTCGGAGAAGAAGATCTTCATCGGCCTCATCCCGCATGACCAGAGCAACTTTGTCAACGGCATCCGCCGCGTCATTGCCAACCAGCAGCAGGTCCTACAGAGAAGCCTGGAGCAGGAGCAGCAGCAGCGAGGGGTGAGGTGACCCTGCCATGCGTTTGCTCACGGGCCCTGCCTGTGGCTTCCCACTTCTGAAACCTCCCCTGGCTTCTCTCTCTGCAGATGGGTGGCTAGCGGACTCCCAGGCTGGGCAGGCCACAGTCCCAGACGAGGCCCAGCGGAGACTGGTGAGCAGCATTTCTTTCCGGAAGCAGCGGGGTGGCCCTGACATGAGGCACTGCCTTCTGGGACCTGTGTCCCTGGCAAGGTATGGGTGCCAGGGCCTTAGGGGTAGGGTGCAGTCTCACCAGTAGAAGCCACCCCCTTCTACTGCCTCCCAGGTCAGATGCTTCTGAGCAGGGGCTCCTGGGGACTGTACCTGCCCAGCAACCTGGAGAACAGCGTCCTGAGGTCTCTAAGGATGGTCCTTGCCCTTGTATGTTTCCCTAATAAAGCCTTTAAGCCCACACGCTGTCTGCTGACTCTGTGCCCAGTGCAAGATGGTTACGTCCGGAGGTCACACACAGTGAGTGGGTCCACCCCATGTGCAGAGCTGCTGAGTCGGGCAGTTTGGGGGATGCGTGCCATTAAATGACCATCTCTGAGTAGGTGGAAAGGTAGGTTCGTCGGGGTCGGGCTACATGACAGTCTTTCTTTGGTTAATTTAATCTATCGTACCTGATCAAACTCACAACTGGGTTCTGACACCTGTTGCTAACCCCCACCACAAAACGGGCCTGGCTGCTCAAGTCCCCAGGCCAAGCGTGCTGGGTGCACAAGAGCCCGTTTGTAACCCAAGTTCAGAGAGCCGTGGCAGGCTTGTCTCCCACATTCCCAGCAAGGTGGCCATGAGCAGAGTAGCAGCAGTGTTTATTCCGGCTCAGCCCTCTAAGAACTGGCAGTACAGCCGCTGTCGTGCGGGGTCTGCGTGCGTCCGCAGTCGGAACGGGATCTGAAGGATCTCCTGGAATCCCTCGGTCAGCATGGGTGGCTCAAACTGCTTCCTGTGGGGGCGAGTTAGGGAGGGTGAGGCTCCGCACCCCCTGCCCCAGTCTCCTGCGCCCTCCAGTCTCCCAGAGCCCCTGAACCTGTAGCTGAACATGACCATGTCTGACACTGGTGCGTGCGAGGGGTCCGTCATCTCTCGAAACTGCAAACAGAGGCACGGAGGTCAGGGCATGGGCTTACATGAGGGGCAAGGCCTGGAGAGCGGCTTACCCTGTTGTTGTGGCGAGCCTGCTCTAGCGTAGCACGGAAGCTGAAGCACCGGCAGGGCACACCTGCCTCTCTGGCACACTGGATGTACCTGTGGAGGACGCAAGTGCGGCTGTCACAGCCACCCGGCACTCAGTGCCCCCCCACCCGGCACTCGGCGCCCACCCGGCACTCGGCGTCCCCCCACCCGGCACTCAGAGCCCCCGGCACTCGGCGCCCCCCACCCGGCACTCAGTGCCCCCCCCCGCACTCCGCCCCCACCCGGCACTCGGCGCCCCCCCCCCCCCGCACTCAGCGCCCCCCCCCACACCCTGGGGGAAGGTACCTGGCCCGACTGGGGACATCTGGATTCGTATTGTCAATCACAACTCGCTTCCCCTGCCTCAGTGCCGCCTGGCATGAACTCACACAGCGCTGCCACGACCCCAGTGTGTCCTATGGGACCTAGGACAGGTCACACGTTGTTCTGGGGACCCCGGTCCCCAGAACTGTGCTGGGGGGGGCAGCCCTACTCACCCTGTTTACATGGACATAGCCAGCTGACACCAGGTGCTCCTGCACGAAGGTGGACTTGCCGGCTGTGGGAGCAGTGTGGCCATCAGCTGGTGTCTAGGACACACATGACTGCCAAGGGGAAGCAGAGCCTGGGCCGTGGTATCTCACCCCCAGGGAATCCTACTGTGACCACCACCTCCGGGTTGGGGCTGAGGAGGAAGCTGGACTCTGGGACGTAGAGGGGCCCCGCGCTGGAGACGGTCCTCTGGCAGGAACAAAGGGGAGGGATGGTATAAGCCTGGGGAGCCAGGCAAGGGCCTCTCCCCCCTTTCCCTCTGGGCCTCACCGGGTCAAAAGCTGGAAGCTCAAAGCCCGCTGCTGGCCACTTCAAAAAGAACTCCTCCGGAGTGGCAAAGGGCAGGCCGATGTTAAGGGCAAACTGGGCAGAGACAGGTCAGAAGAGTGGAGAGCTGCAGCAGGGGTGGTGGCTAGGGCGGGCCATGGGCTGGGACGACGGGGGCACCACGATGCCACCCACTTACCAGGCGGTCTGCGCAGGAGAAGTCTTTCTTCTTTTTTCCTGGTGCCCAGTTGGCTGGGCGCCCTGCTGCATCTGTAAGAGGAGGGGGAGCCTGTATGCCACTGAGCTCAGAGAAGGTTCCTGACAACCCCAGGGAGCTGCTCCTCTTACCTCCCACGAACACACTGTCACCAATGGAAATGGGCACGCCCTCGTTGGCCTGCAAAAAGATGCAGTGAGAAGCCCCTCCAGGACTTTGCTGCCAAATGTCCCGCCTGCTCCCCCGGTGGCCTGCAGGGAGCAGACATCCCAGCACCCCACAGCAGCCCTGACTACCTGCTCTTCCAACACCCCACAGCAGCCCTGACTACCTGCTCTTCCAACTTGGATCGTGGCCTTAATCAGGGTCTGCCTGGACCTGTAATGCTCTCACCCTTGGGCCACTGCCGTCTCAGACAATTCCCCAGGCCCCTGACACCTGCCAGGCTCTCCCATCAGCCACGAGCATCTCTGCTCAGCCAACACTGCTTCGGGCCTCTCAGGCTGCATCGGCGCCTGCCCCCCTAGGTCTCTCCCAGTGCACGCTGTGCAAGAGCCCTGACCTGCAACTTCTCTGCTAGTCTGCTCTTCAGGGACTGGGAGTGCTGGTCTCGCAGATGGTAAGGACCAGGGAGGGCAGCAGGTCATGAGGGGCGGGGCTGGGAAGGGCCACACAGGAGGGGGAAGGACACTCACCTGCCCCTGCAGATGGTCCCACATGCCGCTCACTGGCTTTCGGTTTAGGCCTGCATGTGTTGCCACCAGCACCTATGGAGGCGGCCAAGTTACACCGTCCTCGGTGCTGAGGGCCTCCAAGGTCATTTCTGTCAGCATAACCCCAGGCAAGGCCTCCATTCCACACCTCGGCATGTTCTCTCTGGGTCCCTGCCCCACACAGCCCCCCCCCCAGTGTCCCTTCTGGCTGTACCTGAAATGGGACCCCCAGCTTCTCCAACACAGCCTCCACCTTGGCCTTGAACACCTCTGCTGGCAGCTTCCCTCGCCCAATGCCCATTTGGTTGGTGAAGATTACCAGCTGGGGATAGACAAGGACACACTGGGGCCCCCTCCCCACAGCTCAGCATGAACTCTACACAAACTTGTATGTATGTGTCCATGCACACATAGGCCCCCATGCCTTAGCTCTTGGCAGCTAGAGAATATCCATGCACACACCCACATACCTTGTAGCCCTCAGCATCCAGCTCCTGGAGCTTCTTTGGAATCCCTGGGTACAGAATCCTAAGGTTGGTGGGAAGTAGCAATGACATGTAGCCTACGGGACCTGAGCTCCCATCCCAGCCTCCTGCCATGTCCCACCTCACCTCCAGTCACTAGGGCTAGTTGGGAAGACCTTTCCAGAACGAGTGGTGATGAGAGTCCCATCTAGGTCAAAGGCAGCCACCTGGAACACAGGGACAGCCCTACTGTCACCTCTGACCTTCCTCACAAGCCAGCTGACAGCAGCCTTTGACACTAGGGTCACCCTTAAAGCACTGAGGTAGGAAAGCAGTGCTTCATGCCCCTGTGCCCTCTGCTCCCCACTTTCCAGCCTTCAATGGCGACATGTGTCCCACCTCCCCTTTTCCCTGAGCATCTCCTTGGAGCATTATCGGCTCAGAAAGAGCAAATGTCTTTGTCGGAAGAGCTGGAAGGAAGATTCAGCGGTTAAGAGCACACAGGTGGTTCACAACTGCCTGTACCTCCAGCTCTAGGGAACCCAATGCTCTCTGGCCTCTGCAGGCATCTGTATGCATGTGGTACACATAAAATCAGGCAGACTCACATAAATAAATGAATAAAAACTTAAAATCAAAACTCACTGTTAGTTGTGTGCCCAACCAGGGACTGGACCCACACTTTCTGTGGCTTAATCATTTCAGACTGGCCCACATCCAAAAGAAGGTCTGATCATCACGGATTACAGGGCCTGATCTGTATCCTGCACCTCAGTGGTGACAGCCACCATTGGCATCGAAACAGTCTCTGCTCACAACAAAGAGCTGAGGCTCACAGACTTTGGTAAGATGAGCCCAGGGCTGCACAGCAAAATCTGGATTAAATGGCGTGACTGTGGCCTCACCTTGCCCCGTGGCTTTACCCCAGATGCCGTGAACACCAGTAACTTCTTTAAGCTCTCCCAGCCAGGGGATGATTTCCGTCCCCGCTTTTTCTGAGGCTCAGCATCCTCCGGGTCCACTGGATCCACCGGAAGAGTGCCCAGTGTCTGAGGCTCAGCGTCCCCCGGGTGCACTGTATCCACCGGAGGAGTGCATGGCGTATCGGGCTGGGACTCTGATGTGCTAATCTCTTCCCAACGCAGAGTCAGGGGGTATAGGCCATTGACCAGATACAGGATGTCCCCCAAGCTCAGGGAACCCGACAACCCTGGCTTCAACTCCTGGACCCCAACAGTTGATGGGTTAACACCCAGCTGCAGAGAAAGGAGGACTAGGGTTGGCCCCACCTCCTCAGGGAACGAACTCCAGCCTCCCCACCAATTCCAATACCCCATCTCCCAATCAGAACCTTAATCTCCCACCTATTCATTTCGTGCTACCAATCAGAACTTTGAAAGGTTACAGGCGTCCAGCCTGGCACAGTGGAAAAGGGAATACCTACCAACCTTCTAAAGGGCTGCGACCCATCCCAACCCCGTACCCCAAGTCCTTGCTACCCGTTGCTGAGACGCTGGTACCTGCTTCACTGCCACTGTCCGGGTCTCAGGGTCTGCAACCAGCTCCACTGAGGGTAAGGGGACGGAGTCAGGGTTTGCATTACGTATGGGGCGTGGCCAGCTACAGACTTCTTGAACTTCGGAGGAAGCACCCTCCCCCCCAACACAGGGCCTCAAGTAGCCCAGGGTAGCCTAGAAGTTGCCACACACTGGTGGCTGGCCTTAAACGTCTACCATTCAAGTGCCCGGATAACAGGTGTGTGTCGCCCCCGGCCCGAAACAGTTTACTTCTCGATGGGACCGGGATCAAGGTTTGCAGGGGCGAGTCCTTAAGATTGTCGGAGACCCGAGGGCTGCCCAGGGTGGGTTTGGGGTGTTTGCGTTTTTAATCTGCAGGGTCGGCACGGCCTGACCGATCCTGCCCAGAGACCGTCTCTCTGCCTGCCGTGAGCATCCTCCTCCCCCGGCGACAATCCCCCGGACCTGCTGTCCCTCCCCGAAAGCCCTGTCTAGCTCCTGGTCAGGCACCAGCGTCCCCGCAGCTCTGGCTGCCGCAGTTCCAGTCCCGCGCCCACCTTGGTTTCGGGAGCACTTCCGGTCCGTCACCTGGGTCAGGGGTCCCCGCCCGAGGACCAGGGCTTGGCCATCGGACGGCAGGAATATGGGGGGCGGGCCCCCGGCGGGGCTCTGCAGCCACAGGCGGCCCCGCGATGCCAGCTGCGACATGCCGGCCTGCGGCGGAGGAGAACCGAGTGGCTCGCTGCCCAGCTCACTTAGCAGCCGGCTCCGGCCCGCTACCGGAAGTCCTGCCTTCCACTGCAGCCGCCCCGGAAATCCGCCCTCGCCTGTGGGCGGGTTCAGCGTTTCCCAGGCTACCACCGCAGTTCCAGGAATTAGCTAGGGAAGATAGTTTTCACTTGGGGTCACCACGGAGTTCATTCCAAATCTCACCTCTGTTGTGGGAAAGACCGTCGGGAGGGTTGGCTCCTGCCATGGCGCATGCGCAGCTCCTGACCCGCGTGCGGCTGTGAGCCCGCGTGGTCCGTGGGCCCTAGGTCTCTACCGTGCTTTTACTTGGTTTTGTTTTGGTGAGATGGGGTCTCAGAATGTAGCTGTGTGCTTAAGCTTACTTCCTGGGTGTAGTGGCACACTTGTCCAATCCCAGCACTCATCGAGTTTGAGGTCAGACTGGTCTACATAACAAGCTCCAGGCCAGCCAGTACTACAGTGAGATCCAGTCCCCACCCCCTTTCCAGGTGAAGGCCTAATCAATGTCTACCGATAAAGACAGCCGAAATCTGATTCCATCAGAGACCACTCTGGAGGACCAGTGAATTTACTGGGGGTGCTACCTGAAAAGGCCACACCTATCCCACACAGGGGCTAGAAAATATAGCCTAGGCCACAGTCACAGCAGGGAACCCGGGTGAAGGTCCCATGGCCTTCCTTGCCCCCTCCTATGGGCGAAATCTGCTGTCAACAAGCCCAACTGGGCTTACCTTTCAGCACTGACGAATTACTTGGCTGGAATGTTACTCCACCACAACACTCTAGCTGGCCTCGAACTCTGAGAGATCTGCCTGCCTCCAGAGTGCTGGTATTAAAGGTGAACGCCACTACCGCCTCTAAGAAGTACTTGCTTCTAATGTCAGTATTTGAGAGGCAGAGGCAGGCAGATCTGAGTTCAGGGTCAGCTTGTTCTACAGTGCCAGCTCCAGGATAGTCAGAGAAAGCCTGTCTAGAAAAACAAAAACAAAAAAAATAACAAAACCAAAATAAGCACACACCACCATACCTGGTCATTGGTGGATTTGTTTGCTTTTTAATAAGGCATTTCTCTGTGTAGCCCTGGGTGTCCTGGAACTTGCTCTATAGACCAGACTGGCCTCAAAATAGTCCCACCTGCCCCTGCCTCCCAAGTGCTGGGAATAAAGGTGTGTGCTATGCCTGACTTTGGTTTCTTCTTGGAGGCAGGATTGAAGGTTGAAATTAACTCCTAAATCCATCTCCCTGTTTGAATGGTAGGTGTGCGCCACTGGGCGGGCCTTCACTCCTCTGAGACAGCAAAAGAAACAGACATTTGTCCCTAGTGTTTGAAGCCTGTGGCCCCACCACACTCTACCTTTGCCTCGATGATGCTGGGTTCTCTGCTGGACATGGTGGGGTAGGTGGGAAACCCTGCACAGAGACTAAGGATGCAGTCTGGGCCACAAAGTGAAACTGTCTCAAAAGGCAAAATAAAAGGGAGGCTACCCACAGGACTAGTTTGAAGGTGATAAACAGGCCACCCTCAACCCTCCCTTCAAACAGTGGGAGGTGGAGGTTCCCGGTCGGGCTCTCCACGCTCCCACCTTCATGCTTCTGAAAACCAGACTTTTCAGCTTAACCGGCTGGGAATGCTGCTCAAACCCCGAACTCTTTATTTGAGCCACAGCCTCCGAGTAACATTCACACACAGTATACCACACTCGCTAGAGTTAAACTTTAATCTCAGAGCGCCCCTCCCCCACTCCTGGCCCCCACCCTACTCTCCCGCACCCAGGGCCAGGGCCGGAGAGTGAGGCCCCCTGCCCCCTGCCATGGGTGGGAGAGGGCCCTTTAAGGCACCTGTTTGGGTCGGGGGACAGGAAGCTGGTACCGTCCTAGGTACAGGACAGACTTTGATGGACAGGCTGTAGTTGGGTGGAACCTATGGGGGGCGTCAGACGCAAAAAAAGCAGGACCGGACTATCCCCGTGGGGCTCCGGACACAAGTGTCAGGACTCGGGCAAAAACAAAGGAAAAACCCAGCCCTAGTAGTGTAACAAACTCAAGGCCTCTGGCCAACTCTGGGTTCGGGAGGGCTTGGCCACGCCCCCAGGAGGCCAGGGCCAATCGGATGGGGAGTTCTGGAAGGGCGGAGCCACCACCCGGCCCCGCAGCCGGGCTCCGCGCTGCGGCTGCAGCGAGCCGTGGGTACGCGGTAAAGCTTCTGTTGCTAGTAAGAAACGGAGTTGACCCACTGAGCGTTAGAACTAGCCCCCTCCAAACCGGAGCGAGCCGATCCCGTAAAGAATTGTCCTGTCGCTGGCAGAGGAAGGCTCGAAAACCCAATGGCCGGAGGGCCAGCGGCCCTTCTCCGGCCCTCTGCCCTGCTCAGTATTTCCGCTTCAGCTTCTGGAAGTCGCTGGTGTTGAGCCGCGGCCGCGGCAGGTCCCCGAAGACCTGGGTGTCCTCGGCCTCCCGCAGCACCAATGCCCGCATGCTAGCGGCGATTCGGTCCAGGTCGGGTGAGGAGGGCTGGAGGAACGAAACTCAGTGGCTCAGTGCGCAGACGCCGCCTCCCGGAATCCCTCCTGCCCAGATTGTCCAGCAGGCCGTGCACCTGAACGTCCCCCCCCCCTCCAAAGCCCTGCCTGGGTGCCAAGGTCCCCGCCTGGATCCCGCGGGATGCCATACAGGCCCTGGCCCTGGGAAGCTGGAGGAAGGCTTGTGTCCTCCCTCAGTGCCCCGTTTCCCCCTCTGGCTCGGGGAGTTTTCTGTGAAGGATGGATCAGGCCAGCACAGCCTGAGTGGGCCACACACTTGGTGTTGGGAGAAAGGAATCTTGGGACCCTGAGCCTATCTGACCCCCCCCCCCCCAATTAAATAAAACAGACAAGGGGCCTTCTTCCTAAAGCGCAGTGGGGTCCTGGGATGGAGAAGAGAGCCTCACTGGCCAAGGCAGGGAGCTCCCTGCAGCAGACCACTCTCGGGCATCCCATCTGTCTCCCTCCCCCCTCACCGGGCCGTTTTCCTCATCTGACGATCGCGCCTCTGTCCTCTTCTCCTTGAAGGCCCACACTGGCACCGACACGGGTAGGGACTTGGCGTACTGCTGGGTGGGCAGGGCTGCGGCCGGGGGCTTGGGGCAGGCTGGGGGACCGGCGGGGGTCTCCTCACTCAAGCTGCCATCTGTGACACAGGGAGGCTTCAGCTTCTGTCCCCCTACCCTCGGCCTGGCCTCCTAAGGCTTGGACAACCCAGGGTCCTCACCATCTGTGCTCTCCGGGTCTGACTCGCAGAAGGGGGGCAGGTCCTGGAGAGTGGCATCCTCATCCATCATGAAGAGTCCTGTGGGTGAGACAGGCGCTGCAATTGGTCCCTGCGCCTCAACACTCCTCATCTGCTGACTGGTCACGCAGGGTCCCTTCCATATCAGGTGACCACTACTAGCTTCAACATGGACCCTGCTTGGGACTATGTAACCCAAAATAGTTAAAAAAAAAAAAAAAAAAAAAAGGTGGTCTGGGCACAAATCAAAGACCCTGTGGCCATAGCACCTGGCTCCATCACACGCTGGTTTTCTTGGGAAAGAGGAGGTGGCCCGCAACAGGCAATGATAGCAAATGAGTAATTCTTACTCACCCTCAAAGCCCTGTGGTTACAGCAGTCTCTAAATCCAGCTGCCCAAAGTGGGATTCCATGGGGCATGGGAAAGGCCTGAGCCGAACCCCACGTAAAGAGTGCCTGGACCCTCCTCTGGTCCTGGCTTCCTTAGATGTGACGGTACCCCCCACCCCCGGCAAACTTCTCCACCCTCCACGAATGGGCCAGCAGCCCCTACCCTTTCTTTCCAGAGACGCCTGTATCTCTCAGAGAACCATACCGTGTTCCCTGCAGTTGGACCTTGTGTGAGGCTGCGAGGGAGCGCTGTCCTAAGGATGAATCAGGACAGGTGTCCAACGCCCAGCAACCCCACCCCAGCACCAACTCCATCAGCTCACCTCCATTATCACTTCCGCCCAGCCGTTCCCCAGAGGTCTCTGTCTCAGTGGGCTCGTCCTCATCTTCCTCATCATCCTCCTTAGCCAGGGCTGGCTGAGGTGGAGGGCTAGAAGCAGGGCTGGGTGGCTGTGGTGCTGGTGGGGGACCAGGCCGGGTGGCGGTAGCGGCCCTGTGTGCCTGTGCGATGTCGTGGAGGCAGCGGCGGGCGGCCTCTGCCAGGGCTCCGCGGCCATGGGCAGCATAGGCACAGGGCCCTGGGCGGGGTGGCGGTGGTGGCGCTGCAGTCAGCAACACCAGCTCTGTGCCAGTGCGGGCCCGGAAGCGCTCGGCGGCCCCCACAACAGCATCCCACAGTTCCTCCGGCCGCCCAGACGCCATCCGCGCCCTGTGGGCCAGAGCAGGACAGAGGGGCTGAGGCTGAGCTGCTGCTACCATCTACCCACCCTGAGGGTTGACTGCCCCAATGCAACTCCCCCCTTCCATGGCGCGCACCACCCCTCCCCCAAGCCTGCTTCCCCAGGGACCTATACTAGCCACCATCAATCCCAGCCCTAGGTTTCATCATGGCCCCATTCCAAAGTCTTGAGTCTTCATCTTTGTTGGCCATGAGCTTTGTAGTAGCCAAGCTGCTCTGTGGTTATTTCAGTCTGGGTTCTTCCTATTTTCTGAGACAGGGTCTGAAGTAGTCAGGTTGGCCACAAATTCACTATGTGGATTCTCATGTGTGCAACCCCTGAGTGCTGGGTCACACATGCACACCACCACACCTGGTTTATGGGGTGCTGGGAACTGAACCCAGGACTTCATGAGGGCTGCCTGGCACCAGCTAGGCTGCATCAAGGCCTGTCTACTTTTTAAGACAGGGCTGACATGTCACAATCCTCCTTCCTCCGCTACCCAAGCAGCTGGAATCAGAGGTGTGAAGTACCCCACATCCAGCCGGACAAAAGCCTTTGAAGACTTACATAAATTTCATGTGTACCTTCTTTTCCAGGGCATGTAGGATGTTAATACACATGTGAGCCAGGCATGGTGGCATACACCAGAAATCACAGCACTCTGAGGCTGAGGAAACACTATCTTGGTTTTGCGGTCAACCTCAGACAGAGACCAGTCTCAATGAAAACCACAGGTGACGCATGGTTTCTGTAGCACAGTACCCTGGGCACTGCCAGACTGCCACCCTTCACTTGATCCAGCAGGCCTCTTCCACTGCGGTGGAACTCTGCCTTCCAGACTCTCTAGGACCAGATGGACCCCATACTCAGCTCATTGGCCTTCAGGTCATTTGGTGAGGGAGATGCCCCTCCCCAGGTCCCCTGCTGGGCTTTCAGGGCCACTGTCTTTGGACAGGGCTGAGCTCTGGGCTGAGGGTGGGCAAAGGAGGGTGCAAGCGGCTCTGCGCTCACCACTGGCTTTTACACTTCTTTGGGCCCCGATATTTAGGGAATCTGTGGAGCTATGACAGCTACACTGCAATCCCCTTTCCCACCACACAGGGAACTCCGGGAGGGCAAGAATCTGGGTCGCCACCAAGGCAGACTCAAACCTGTACCGTGACCATGGACCACTGTGTCTCTCTTCCCCACTAACCAGAGTGCGTGCGCAGGGGAGGACCCTCCTTGAGAGGTAGTGTGCACCTCACCACAGGGGGATTCAAGCCAGCCAGGGCCACGGTGGAGAACCTGAAACCCGAGGGCAGTTTGCAAGCCCTCTGTCACTCACAAACCCCACCCCAAACAAAAGAAAACAACAGCAGGTTGCTGAGACTCCACACTGATTCACCGAGGTGAGAGCTGAGCATGCGCCGGACCAGGGGTCAGCACTGGTGAGCGAGCTCTCATTCCCGCGACACGGGGCAGCAGTGGCCACCCTACTTCCACACTCAGGAACATTGCACCCTGACTCTTGCACCATTGCCAAGGGCTGTCTGTGTCCAGAGCCCTCTACCAATCCTGAGCTCCAATCCTGTCCGCCTCAAGAGACGACACCTCCCACCCCATCTTTCCACCGAGGAGAGAGCTGCACACACCTGACATAGGCAGAGACGAGCTGTAGGAGTTATACTGTCTGCTGAACCCACACTTTAGGAGGCACACAGTGACTCCTACACCCCCCCACACCTTTCCTAGCTGAGGCTGGAGACTGGAAACATCAGGGTCAGGGCAAGGCAGGTGGCTGGTCCAAGATGGCACAAAGCCTGGGTCCTCACTTCTCTGAGAGTAGAAGGGGGCGGAGGATGGCAGGACCCGGTGCCTCTGCACTAGTTCTCGGGGCTAGCCACAGCAGCAGTGGGGAACCCGGTGAGTGGCTTTTGAAGGCGGCTCCAAGGAGGGCGACTTACTGGACCTCCCAGGCCTGTGGCCTCCTATGAGGTGAGACTCAGGGGCAGAGCCGCAAGGGGGAGCTGTCCAGCGGGAAGGTGCAGGCCTCCCAGGACAGGTGTGGCAGGAGATCCGATCCCACCACCGAAGGGCCGGGGGGAAGGGGGGCGCTGAACCACGCCCGCGGCCCAGCCAGGACCCTTCTCTAGGAAGAAAACAGGAAATCCCGCCCCCGGCGAGGATGGGACCGGAAGTCCCGCCCGTGGGCAGCCCCTCACCCACCAGCGACCCCCCCAACAAGCCGCACGGTCGTGGATCACCGTCGATGTGAGGGTCCCAGCCCGCTTGCACCACCGACGTCAAGCCTGATTAGCATTCGTCGCGAGTCAGACACGAGGGGCTGCGCGTTAGCCATTTCTGCACTCGGCCAAGGGTCGCATGGTGATCACTGCCCCCTGGCCCACGCAGGCCGTCCCCTTCCCATGGCCGCACGCCCTCCCACTGCCCCTTAACCTGAGGAAAGCCAGATCCTCCCCAAACCCCAGCTCACAACGCCGCCTCCACTCACGTGCCCGTAGCCAGCATGGCCGGCCAGGCGCCGTCGCCGCCCTCAAAAGGCATGGCGGCTTCTTGCGTCACTTCCGTGCAGCTGCCCCGCCTCCATCGTGTACACTCCGCCTCCCTTATCCTGGACGCCCCAAATCAAAATAGCAACCAGAAGCTTCATCTGCAAGCAGTGGGCAATGGCAACGGTGCAGCGCCCACGGAGAAGATGGCAAAAGACTTCAGCGACGCCGTTTCGATCTGCCCGCAACAAATACGGCCGCGCGCCCGCGCTCACACATGGCAGTAAGCCAAGGCAAGCGCCCTGGCTGGCGTCCCTCGTTCGTAATCAACTTCTAACCGAGAAGTGGAGGGAGGCGGCTCCGGTCCGGCGTGGTAGTCAGTGTGGCTTCAGATGCCTAAGCGTACGGGCTCGCCCTCGCTCCGCCACCCGCTCCCCACCCCGCTCGGGAGCACGGAGCTGGCAGGCATTCAAGGTGGTAGCGTTTCTTGCTTCGGGTTGCCCAGCTTAAAAATGGTGGCACAGCCCTCTTCCCACGGTGACTCGGGAGCCTAGGGGAACTTCGTCTCCAGGGGCCTGACGCCTGCACCCCTGGTCCCGGGACTCTCGCCGCCTCGGGCGCTACACAGCTCCTCTCACCTCTTCCCCCGCCCCGCCCCGCCCCGCCCCGCCCCGCAAAGAGATGCTAGTGCCCCGCATTAACATGGCTTCCACTGCGCCGCTAGGGCTTGCCCTCGAGGAAGATGGCACACTGTTGACTTCGGTGCCAGTATAAAATATGGAGAGAGGCAAGGAGGCGTTCGCTGGTGACGACGAGTTACTGGCTCCTGGGCCCGCCTACTTGTTTACTTCGTGGCGAGTAGTACACTGCGCCTGCGCCGTCTCGGGACCCTTGCCAACTGCGCTGTCTGCACCACGTGATGTGGATCGTCACCTTTCAATCACCCTGTTCAGACTGATGGTTTCACCCACTGCAGCTCTACGACTTTAGGGGCGCTACCATTATCTGGCCTGAAAGGGAGGGTTCTTTCCGGATATGACACCACATTGGCCCGGAAAAGGAGGAGATCGGGGCAGTGGAACCTCCGCGGTGGCTATGGAAGGATCCAGCTACAGGGTAAGACTTTGGAACTCACTTGTCTATAGGCGACTCCACCCCGCGATGGTCTGCTTCCGCTGTGCAGGCAGTAGGCAGAGCTAATTTAGCAAGCACTATTTCCTGGTAAAGACGCTGTCACTCTCCACGGTCAATAAGTAGACTCTACCTTAGCCCCTCCCCTTGGGGAAACTCAAGCCCAACCCGATCGCGGTGCGGACCTTAAGTTTGGCACGCCCCATCCTAGCTGGTCAGTCAGGGTCTTTGGACCTCGCCCCTGGGAATGCTGCTTCCTAGACCCTGGCGCTCACCATGCTCGCCCCTAGGTGGTATTTGAGAAGGGAGGTGTGTACCTGCACACCAGTGCTAGGAAGCACCAGGACCCGGACTCTCTCATCGCGGGTGTCCTCCGTGTGGTGGAGAAGGTGAGCCGGGATGGAGGTGGCATCTGTGGGAATTTTGGATTGACGGCTGAGGGCAGTCGGGCGCCTTTACTAAGTCCTCCCCACGTCCCTCAGGACAGCGACGTCCTTCTGCACTGGGCTCCGGTGGAGGAGGCTGGAGACCCTTCCCAGATCCTCTTCTCCAAGAAGGTAGGCACTGCGCTTCTCTTCACCGCTCGAGCAAGGCAGGGGGTACTCGGGGACCTGTGAGCCTGTTGCATGGTGAGATGATCTGATGTCCTGTTCTCTTGGCTGCTTGGAGAGCCCTGTTGGGTGAAAGACCGGATTCCTGTTTCTTTGCCCTCTGGTCTATAGTTTCGTTTGGTCGCTTTTTTTTTTTTTTTTTTTTTTTTTTTTGCATTTATTCTTGCGGGCGCACACGCATGTGAGAGAGAGAGAGAGAGAGAGAGAGAGAGAGAGAGAGAGAGAGAGAGAGAGAGAGGGGCGCTGTGGATACCTGAAGAAGCAGTTTCTCTGCTTTCACTGAATGGACCCAGGGATTAGACTCACGTTGTCAGGTCTGGCAGCAAGCACTGAGCCAGCTGACTAGCCCAGAGATTTAGTGTCTGTGGTGTGAATGTAGGGCACGTGTGCCCTGCCTGTAGGTGCATGAAGAAGCCAGAAGATGGCGCTGCAGACACATGCTGGAAACTGGTGTTTGTGATCGCGTAGCAAGCCCTGTTAACCACCAAACTCTTTTGGCCTTATTTATTTACTTATTCATGTGTGTGCTACTTAGAGGAGTCATTCTTCCTTCTTCATGAGTTCTGTGGGCTGAACGCAGGTCATCCATCTTAGCTGCCAAGCCATCTGGCTGGCCATGCTCTACAGTATCCCTTCTGTCAACCCATCAGCAGTCACAGCTGGTCACAGTGGCAGTGGCCATCACTCAAGGCCCTTCATTGACTTGCAGTGAAAAGTCAAAAAGAAATGAGCAGAACCTTGGCAAGAGCGCAGAGTTCTGAGAGTGCGGATGTGACCCCGTCCCTTGTAACTGAAGTCTGGACTGGCTCTTTCTCCACCACCATGGGTGGCACTAAGCAGGCTTCCTGCCCCCTCCTGCCTCTGTCCCTCCTTGCACGGAAGGGGCTTTCAGGCTGCAGCTGGAGACCCTTGAGACCCCAGTCCTTCATTCCTGTATCTCTTCTCCAAGGACTCAAGTGAGCCCAGCACCACAGACGAGGAGCCTACCTTTGACCCAGGGTATGAACCTGACTGGGCTGTCATTAGCACAGTGCGACCACGGCCCCACCCAGCCGAGCCCAGGGGAGGTAGGTGGACCTGTGCCACAGTGCTCTGGTGGACCACATCTTGCGCTTAGTTAATCCTGGTTCCAGAGGCAAGGTGGCTTCCAGATGCTTCCTTTCTAGCCTGAGAAAGAATGGCTTGGATCTAGGTGTACTCTGAATTCTCTTAAAGGTTTCTAGGCGTGTGGTTGTGGAAGAGCTAACAGGTAGCTAATCACAGGGTCATTTTCTGCCTTCCTTCCTTCCTTCCTTTCTTTTTTCCTTTCTTTCTTTCTTTCTTTCTTTCTTTCTTTCTGTTTTTGGAGACATGGTCTCACTATGTAGCCTTAGCTGGCCTTGAACTCAAAGATCTGCCTGCCTCTTCCTGACAAGTACTTGAGATTAAAGGTGTATGCCACTGTGCTCCATCTCCCAGATCTTTTCTTGTGGCTCAAGTAGGATCTAGAACAAAGAGGGCATGAAATGTGAGATAGCTAAAAGGAATAAAGCCTTCAAACTGAAGATTGAGGGAAGCCAGGAAAGGTTCTGGGATATTCTGGAACAGACGCAACATGTCCACCCTGCTTCTTTCCAATTATAGGCAGCTTTATTTCTAAGGAAATGCCAAGCATCCCAGAGTTCTCAGAGGCCTGGTGGAGGGCAGCTTCCACTAAAGCTTCGGAAGACGGTGCTGTGGAGAACACACCACTCAGACTGCACCAACAACACATTGCTTTCCCTTAGGTGCAGAGCCCAGCTGCCCCCGGAGCTCCTGGGCCTTCACCGTGAGCCTGGGGGAGCTCAAGTCCATCCGCAGGTCCAAGCCAGGCCTCAGCTGGGCCTACCTGGTCCTGGTGACGCAGGCTGGGGGCTCCCTGCCTGCCTTGCACTTCCACAGAGGAGGTACCCGAGCCTTGCTGCGGGTCCTCAGCCGCTACCTGCTGTTGGCCAGGTAAGGCGCTGCCTGCACCTGCGTTGAACCTGCGAGCCAGCCTGTCTTTGTGTAGCTGCAGCTGGGGTCTGAGGACAGTGAGCGAAGCACAGTTCTAATGGAAAGGCGCAGAAAGATCCAGGCCTGTACACTTACAGTCCCAGTGTTTGGAGGGCTGTGACAGGAAGATGAACAGTTCAAGACCAGGGTAGGCTACGAGAGCCTGAAAGTGAGGGCAGGGAGGGCAGAAATGTCCCATCTTAATGGGACTTCAGGAGTAAGTCTCCTGGTGCATAGAAGGTATCTCTTCATCCCCAAGTTAGTCCCATGGGCCCAGAAATGCAAACGCCTCATTGGCCTCCAAGGCCCAGCTCTGGTCTGGAGCCTTTCCTTGCAGTAGCGTTTGGGGAAGGAGAAAGGGACTGTAGTACCTTGGGCCAGTATGGCCAGGCTGGCCCAGTACCTAGGGGCCGTGGCCTCCCTCCTGCTCTCCCAGCTCTCCGCAGGACCCCCGCCTCTACTTGGTCTTCCCCCACGACTCCTCTGCCCTCTCCACCTCCTTCCATCACCTGCAGCTCTTTGACCAGGACAGTTCCAATGTGGTGTCAGTGAGTATCCCAGAGCCAGGTGCAGGGCACCCATGGGTGTGATGGGGACCATCTGGAGGGGCAACTCTGATACCTGTTGCCTGTCCCCAGCGCTTCCTCCAGGATCCCTACTCCACCACCTTCAGTAGCTTCTCTCGAGTGACCAACTTCTTCCGGGGAGCCCTACAGCCGCACCCTGAGGGAGGCTCCTCCCCTGACCTCCCTCTGCTGCCAGACGATGAGCCAGAGCCTGGCTTCGAGGTCATCTCCTGCGTAAGTGTCAGGTGGCTCTGTTTGGGACTTCCTGTTGCCCCACACAGGCATGTGACTTCGAGAACTCTCTTTTCTGCTTGGTGTACCAGGCTTTTTCTCTTGGGTTACCAGCCAGCTCCGCAATCATGACATAGAGACTTAATTAGTTAAGAAGGCTTGGCTTAGCTGAGGCATGCTTCTGGCTAGCTCTTTTAACCTAACCCGGTCCTCTTTATCTACCTTTTGCCTCGGGGCTTATCCCCTTTCTTGCTCTCACGAGCTTCTTGCCCGAGGCATGTCCCTTCTCCTGTCCTCTTCCTCCTCTCTAGCCCAGATTCCTCCTCATATTTATTCTCTCTGACTGGCTGGGAACCCCTCCTACCCTTTCTCCACCTACCTATTGGCCATTCAGCTCTTTGACCAATCATAGGGAAAACAAATGTTAACACATCTTCACGTAATAAAACACACAAATGCAGCAGAAGCAAAAATAACTCACCTTCATATAGTGAAAGTACTATTCTGCAGCATGAACAAATGTAGCACATCTTTCTAGTTAAAATAATATTCCACAGCACCCCGGTAACATGAAAGCAGTATCTGGAGCTGCCGGAAAGTGGCTTCACCGAGTCTCATGTACTGGGCCAGCCATCTAGTATATCTGGTGGATGTTTCTCTTGTGCAGAGGATCCATGTAAGCCAAGGGCTCTTCCATGCTAGGCAGGTTCTATACCACTGAGCCAGATCCCCAGCCCTCACTGGTGACCTAGACACCACTCCCCTTCGGCAATAGTTTCCCAACCATCTGACACTGGGTGTCTCCATTTTCCAGCCTAGCCTCTTGCCTCCGGCCTGACTTTGGCTGCTGCTCTTCTCAGATGCCTTCTTTTCTGGAAGCTTCCTGCTGATCCCTGGTATGTAGGGTTCCTCCAGCTCAGGAGGGCTTGGGGCTCACCTACCCCGTGTCGTGCAGGTGGAACTGGGGCAGCGTCCCACAGTGCAGCGGGCTCCTCCAGTCACGGAGGAAGAATGGAGCCGCCATGTGGGTCCCGATGGTCGCCTGCAGAATATCCCTGAGTTGAAAAGCCGGATCTTCTCAGGGGTGAGTGTCAGGGGATATAGGCTGGGGTGGGCTGACCACTGGCCAGGAGGAAGCCCCCTGACCTGTCTGCTCCATTGCACCCCCAGGGTCTCAGCCCTGGCCTGCGGCGGGAGGCTTGGAAGTTCCTCCTGGGGTACCTTAGCTGGGAGGGCTCAGCTGAAGAACACAGAGTGCACGTAGGGAAGAAAACGTGAGTGAGCCGTGCAGCCCCACCCTTCCCACGCCTCTGCCCTAGGCTTGGGCTTCACTTATTCCCTTGGTCTACATCAGGCTGTCCTAGAGCCAGCACAGGCCCTGCCGCTTTGTAGGGCTGGTGTGAGCTCTACTGGAGTTTCTTCCACGCATGCTGGGTTGAAGCCACTCTAGGCAGTGAACAGCCTCATTCCCGGGTGGCTGCCTCCTTTTCGGTCTGCTGCTATGGTCTGTAGTTACAGCTTCGCAGTGGCTGTCAGCTCCTCTCTGTGGGTGTCGTGCACCTGCCATGTCGGACCCCTTGTGAGGACCTGAGGGTGTCTCGGTGCCCCTGGACGTGCTTTTGAAGCCGAGGGACAGACACGATCGGAAGCCCACAAGGAGAGAAACGGGAGGGGCGGGGACCAGGTGGCCTGTGTGCAGGGCCGGGCAGGGCCTGGGGAGCCCTGGTGTGGGCAGGTGTCCCTCCAGGCGTCCCTGGGGCCGTGCCGGGACTTCCATGTCCCTCTCCCGCAGGGATGAGTACTTCCGGATGAAGCTGCAGTGGAAGTCTGTGAGTGCTGAGCAGGAGCGGAGGAACTCCCTGCTGCACGGATACCGCAGCCTCATTGGTGGGCGGGGCGGACGGGTGGGCGGGAGCCGCAGTGGGGAAGGCAGGACAGGGAAGAGGTCTTGGGGCCTTCTGGCTCTCGCTGGGAGGTTGGGTAGCTTTGGGGGCGGCAGTGATAGGTTCTGGGGAAACCCCCACCCCCGCTGCAGCGTGAGCCTTGAAGCTGAGGGCTGCCAGCATGCAGGGGAGTAAGGCTGGGACCTGTGACCTTTCTCATGTTCCTACCATGTTGGGACCCCACAGAGAGAGACGTGAGCCGCACCGATAGGACTAACAAATTCTACGAAGGCCCTGAGAACCCAGGGCTGGGGCTGCTCAACGACATCCTCTTAACCTACTGCATGTACCACTTCGACCTGGGTGAGCACTGCGCCGAGCGGGAGAAGGTGGGCGCCTTGGGTGCTCAAGGTGCAAAAGCTGACCCTGTCTTCTCCCAGGCTACGTCCAGGGCATGAGTGACCTCCTGTCCCCAATCCTCTTCGTTGTTCAGAACGAAGTGGATGCCTTCTGGTGTTTCTGTGGCTTCATGGAACTTGTGGTGAGATGCAGCGCGGGGGGGGGGGGAGTGTCAGGGACAGCCGCTAAGGTATCCAGGCTCTGCTCTCACACCCTCATGCTCCCTGCAGCATGGGAACTTTGAAGAGAGTCAGGAGACTATGCAGCGGCAGCTGGGGCAGCTCCTGCTGCTTCTTCGCGTACTGGATCAGCCACTCTGTGATTTCCTGGGTAGGTCCTGTGAGCCACCGTCCAGTCCAAATCCAAATGAGACAAACGTCACCAAGTGAGCTGACCTTCAAAGCTTAGGGGGATGGGTAAGCCCGCCCGCCTTAGGCCAGGTGAGGGTTCCCTGGACCCTCACTCAGCCAGGGCCACTGTACTCTGGCTGTGAGCTCCTTGTTGCTTGTTTAATATGGAAACTGCTGAAGGGGCCGTGGCTCAGGTAGTAGGATTCTCGCCTACCGTGCACGGAGCCCTGGGTTTGATCAGCAGCGCCGCTGCGCACCAGTAACCTCAGCACAGAGGGGTCGGAGCAGGAGGCTCAGACACACATGGTGAATGTGAAGCTGGCCCGAGCTACATGAGACCCTGGGTGTGTCCTTGAGGAAACTGGGACCATGCTGGCCAGGAGGCCTTAGATAAGCACGCCACTTTCTGGGCAGAAGGAGACAGCTGCTTGTGTCCTGAAGTCTCCTGGAACCCAGCTTCCCTGGGCTTGTACAGTTCTGTATATGTCCTGCACTTGCAGGAGAGCCTGAGGACTGGTCCTGCTCACCTACTAGATATGCTAATCACCTAGACTGACCGGGAGGAACTGTGTCCTTGGTAACACCCTCACTGACATTCTCTGTGAGTGATGGTGACCCGTCTTTCCGGCACGGCCCCGCTTGCTTTCCTGGGTGTAGTACGTGGTCTAAATGTGTGCCTGCCCCCTAGCGCAGAGCGGTGGCACCATCCTACAGCGGCAGATCTCATGTCATTTGCCTACCGCAGCTGCTGAGTACATTGTGATGTGGACTAGGGCCTGGTCAGCGGCTGTGGGCAAGGCTAACCCCGTGTCCTTTAGATTCCCAGGACTCGGGTTCCCTGTGCTTCTGCTTCCGGTGGCTGCTCATCTGGTTCAAGAGGGAATTTCCCTTCCCCGATGTCCTTCGGTTGTGGGAGGTGGGCAGCCAGTTAGGGTGAGATGCTGGTGGAAGGGTTGGGGGGTGAAGGGGGATGGGCAGGTCAGAGTGGGGCTTCAGGCTTCCTTCTGACACCTCAGGTGCTGTGGACTGGGCTTCCTGGCCCCAACCTGCACCTGCTGGTGGCCTGTGCCATCTTGGACATGGAGCGGGACACGCTAATGCTGTCTGGCTTTGGCTCCAACGAAATCCTTAAGGTGAAGCTGGGTTATTCCCTCCCTCCCGCTGCCTTGACTTGGATGTGTGTGTGGCTGGCCTTGGGATTGTTGGCTAGATTGCCTTGTGTGCGTGGGATTGGAACTGCTGTCATTACACCTAGTAGGTTTCCAGCCCTCCCCTGCCTGGGCCCTGTGGGGGGGGCCGAGCCTGCTCCCCTGCATCCCCACAGTGCGGGCATGCACCTTACTCTCCCTTACTCTCCATGCAGCACATCAACGAGCTGACCATGAAGTTGAGTGTGGAAGACGTGCTGACGCGGGCAGAGGCCCTGTACAGGCAGCTGACTGCCTGCCCAGTGAGTCCTTCACCCTTAACCCCCAGGGCTGTCCCCAGCAAGCCTTCCCCACGTCCCCACCCTTCTGACTCCACCCCCACACATCACCTTCCCCCTTGGATGCCCCCCCCCCCAGGAGCTGCCACACAACGTGCAGGAAGTCCTGGGGCTGGCGCAGCCGGAAGAGCCCAGTAGCCCATCTCCACCCATGTCGCCGCTGCCGCTGTCCACTCGGGCCCCACCGTCCCCAATGCCACGGCGTGAGGACGTGGTGGCCCAGCCTGACAGCAGCCTGGAGATCTTGCCTGAGGACGAGGATGGCACAGACTCCTAGCCCCTTGAACCTGATCAGTTCCCGCAGATTGCCAGGTCCTGAGGCCCACTGCACCAGGAGCCTTTAAGTCTGCCCGTGCAGTGGAGAGGGTCCTCTTGGAGGTCTTCAGAACCCTCCCACCAGCTGCCAGTGTGAGGCAATAAACCGTTCTTGTTTTGAGCTGGTGATCAGCAAGCCCTTGTTTTTCAGATCTGCTAATAGCCCAGGCTGGCCTCAAGGGAGTGGGTGGGGGGGTGGGGTTCAGTCAGGACCTGCCTGTCAGCACCTTATTTACCCTCCAGTACCTTCCGGTCTCCACCTGACCACAGTGCAGTGTTCACCCGAGTGCCGAGCATCCAGGGAACCTATATTCGGGAGACCAGAGAAAGTGGGGAGCGAGCGAGCAAGCGAGCTGGGCCTCTGGGTTTAACAAAAAATAATTTTATTGTGGACTATTAGTTTGTGTGGCCTGCTCTAGAAGGGGCAGGATTGGGGGCGGGGTACTTCCTCCCCCTGTGCAGGAAGAGTGGCCAGCCTCTCCGCGCATGTGCGGGTGCCTCTGGGGCCCCGATCCCTCGTGCCTGTGTCCCCCGTGCACATGCACGTGCTCTTCAGAGATAACTTCTTCTTGTACATGCACATGCGAGGGGATGATGGTCTGGTGTACATGCAGATGCCCCTTCTCCTGGGGAATGGTCTCCATGAACACGGGCTCCCGCACCTCGGGGATGGTCTCCACAAACACATGTCCCTCGGGGTTGAGCTCTTCGTGTGGGGACTCCTGCTCCTCTGGGCTTTCCTGCTGCTGCTCATAGTGGTCAACCGCTTCCTGAACCTCGCTGGCCTCTATGTGTATGTGCTCCTGCCCCTGGGTGCTGGTCGCCCTGAATACATGGTTATTCATCTTCACCGCGGCCCGCAATGCGGACTTGACAGCGGTCTCTACCCAGCCATGTGGATGGGCTGTGTGCTCGCCCGCGAAGTAGATGCTGCCATAGGGGAATGACCAGTCATAGTCTTCTTCATCCCCCTGCATCAATGGCGGCTGCACCACAAAGCCGCCCTGGCTTTGCGGGTCTTCCGCCCAGCGCTTGACTACGCCCCTGCCGTCCCACAGCCGGTACACGATCGGCCCATGAAGGGCCGCCACGTCCCTGAGTGCCACGTGCAGGGCTTGCTCTGTGCTCAGGCCAGCGAAGGGGGCTGCAGCGTCTGACCACGTGTACGAGGCCAGTAGCAGCGCACCCTCGCCGCGCCCCGGATAGAATATTAGGCGAGATGGGCGGTCTGTGTTGGAGTGGCCGCCCTCGATGTGCTCCTCGTGCCAGAAAGGCCGGCGGAAACTCAGGAAAACCTTGGTGGCTGCCACGTAGTGCAGCGCACGCAGCGCTTCCTGCCTCCTGCGTGTCAGCGGCGGCGAGAAGGTGATGCGCTGCAGCGCGGGCCCGCTGGCCGTCAGCAGCACCAAGTCAGCCGTCAGCACCTTCAGGTCGTGAGGCTCCAGTGAAGTGTCGATGTGCACGCGCACATCGTGCATCCCCTGAGTAATCGCCACCACCGGCGCGTTCAGCAGCACCGGACCAGACAAGACGCTCAGCAGCGCCCGCGGCAGCAGGTCCCAGCCACCCACGATTCGGCTGTACCTGCACGGCGCGGACAAGCACGTGGACCCAGGTTGAGGCCAGGCTCTTAGGGAAGGCCCAGCCCCCTCCGGGCCCGTCCTCTCCGGCCCCGCCTCTCTCAAGATGCCCCATAGGCTGTGTCCTCACCGAAGTCTGTCGCTCAGGCAGCTGTGGGCACGTAATGCCTCTGCGAAGCTGAGGTAGAAGAAGCCCTCCTTGGACATCACATCTCCCAGGAGCTGCACGGCTGACCAGGTCAGGTTGCCCTCCCCAAGGAGGTATTCCTGTGCAATGGGCAGAAGCCCTGGTCAGACCCTCCCCTGCCGAGCCTGGGATCTCAGCCATCATCGGGAACCAGCCCGCCCCAGCCTCACTCACCAGGAGCGTGTGCTGGTTGAACTTCTTCATAGCTTTCTTGCAGCCCAGGGCCTTGAGGTCCCTGAGCGCCTGTGGGGAACAATCAGAGGACCCTGGTTGCAGGGGGAACAGCCACCCACCCCACTTCAAGTCCCAGGCCTTGGCTCATGCTGCACACAACTCTTCTGTAGCTGGAAGTCCTCCCAAATACTCAATTGCCCTCATCTGCCCAGGCAGGCAGGAGTCCTGGTGTCAGTTTGTGCCACGAGGTGGTGTTAGACCATTGTGTCTAGACCATCGTGGGCATAAGCAGGTGAGGGTCTCTCAGAGCCCAATAGGGCGCTGCTACCAGCTAAGTCTATTTAGCAATTGCCCCTGCACTAAACTCTCCCAGCAGCCTGCATCAGCCTTTCTTGCAGCTGGCAATCGGTGGCAATCGTGGTTGGGAAGTGTGGAGGGCGGGGCCACCTTGGAGCCCTGCCAGGTCCCCAACTGCGTGCAGACTCTCCTGCCTGGCACTTACTTCTCTCTTCCTTCAGGCTCCTTCTAAAGGTGGCCTGCACCTTCTCTACCCTGCCCCCCCCCCTTGTCCTGAGTAAGGCAGGCACTCAGGTAGACCCATGGAGGATGCAGACTTAGGGACAATGGGGTTCTAGAAGCATAGGGTATGCCTGGACCACTGGGTAGGATGTAGGGGATGGGGAAGCTACCTGGCAGGTCTGCCCATGGGCCTGAGAGGCCTCGTGGACAGGATGATGCCTGGGAGCCTAAGGCACCCAGGAGGGGACCCAGAGTGGCAAAGGTGCTGGAGGGCCCTGGGGAAACACCAAGTGGCCCTCAGCAGGTGTGGGGTACGCCTTTACAGGGTGGTAGCAGGGACAGAACTCTGTGGGCAGGGCTGGGCTCTGCAGGAAAGCTGGTGGCCACCTTGTTGAGTGCCATCTGGTAGATGTCCTCTGGAGAGCGGCCTCTCTCCCTGTGGCTCAGATGGTAGCCCAGCTTTTCTGGCATCTTCTCCACCACATAGTTTCGCAGCTTCACGTCATTCACCTCCGTCCACGTGTTCTCATCATACTGTATGAACTGAGTCAGGTTGAGGCCCAGGCTCCTACAGAGCTTGTGCAGGATCCTGGAAGCAGGAGGCTGCTTGGAGGAGGCCTGGCCTGGCACCACAGGAGCCACAGGAGACCCACAGGAAGGGTCCCCGAGGGCGGGAATGGAGCTGGTGACTGGGGACCTGAGGGCTGGCTCAGGAGCCCGGCTGGGAATAGTGGTCGAACTCAGGCAGAGCGGGCTAGGGGCATAAATGGGGAGGTGAGCGATCACCCCAGCCTTCCGGAAGGCAGAGCGGGCCCAGCCACATGTGACTAGAGAATGCTGAGCCAAGCTGTTTCAGCCAGGATGAAAATACTGAGGGCTGGGTGGGAAGTGAAGTCTAGACACACTTGTGACTGACTGGGTGAGAATGTGGGTGACACTGGAGTGGGGTTCGAGGCCCGAGGTTCCATACACAGCACTCAAAGACTGGCACATGGACTAGGGACGGAGTGCAGAGCCCAGGGTAAGACTGGGGCTGGGATTGGCCGAGCCTGAGTCATGGGTGGGAGCTGACTAAATACGGGTGGATGGACGTGGGCTCTGGCTAAGTTTGGCACAGAGGTGGACCTCTGCTGCCTGTTGGGACCTCACCTGTGGGAGCTGGGCATTCGCATGGCCCCTAGCTCCCCCATCCAGCCCGTCTTCCCATCTCGGTAGGTGAAGATGCGGCCCCCAATCCTATTATCCGCCTCCAGGATGGTGACCTAAAGATGAGGTTGGACGAGCAGGGACCTCAGCTCCCTTTACACCTACAGGGCCCTGCCCTGCTCCCCACAGTAGGGCCCACTTAGGCTAGAAGAGCCTTTCTTCAGGATGGAAGGGGCTTCTAGGAGAACAAAAGTTAAGGAAGGTTTCAAGACCGCATCAGGAAAAGCACGAGATTGACTATGGAGGGGCTTCCCGGCCTAAGGGAGGGAGATTTCCTGGTTTTCAGAGAAGACTTGAGCTGGCTCATTCTCATTCCTGGGTTTCGGTGATGGGGACGCCTCCCCTTGGGGATTTTTCAGTACTTTCCCCAACACCGTTCACCCCCCCTTTGACTCTACCACTACATTAACAAGAAGGCGGCCTTCCCTCCAGGATGGGTGAGTGGGGTGCAGCGAGTGAGTGGAATGGGGGTCTGGGAAGGAACAGCTGCTTCTCCGCACCCTGCTACCCAGGACTCCCACCGGAATCAGGAAAGGCTCCAGGCAGACCTTGAGGAGCATGTCTCACCTTGTGTCCGGCATCACCGAGCACCTTGGCAGCTGTCAGCCCGGCCACACCTGCACCGACAACCACCACCTTTTGGGGCCTCAGGGTCCGATTGAGGCCCAAGGTTACCACATTGAGCAGCTGTTCATAGTCAGGGTCCTCCATACACTTCTCGAAGGGATTCAGGCTGGAGGCCGTCTTCCAGTCCAGAGAGGATGCCAGGCCAAGTAAGACAGCCACAAGGACAAGACGTGGGGCTGGCAACATAAGAGGGTCAGTAGAGGCAGACGGACACGGGAAGGAGGGAGCCACAGCACCCCTCCTCCCCTCCGATGCTCTTACCCAGCCAAGCCGTGGCGCAAGTGGCAGCTGCTGTCTGAGTGAAGAGGCAGGGGGCACTGTGATGGGGGCCAGGGACCTCCCTGCCAGCCTCTCTCTCTCCTTCCTTTCTGCATATCCCCAGACCCAATCTTGATCCTTCAGAGTTCCCCGGGCCCATTCCCCCAACCCTGGCCTAGCTCCGTGCCTCCCTCCCGCCTCTCAGTGCAGGTTCTGGGGTCCCGTCACTGGCTCAGTGCAGGTTCTGGGGTCACTGGCGGCACTCTCCAGGTAGCTGTACTCCAGCTCTCTTGGGCAGGACAGCAGAGCTGAGCCTCTGCTCTCTCCCGCTTAAAGCAGCCAGCCCCACCCACTCACCTCCCTGGGGAATTAAAAGTGCTTTCCTGGGGTGGGGTCAGATGCTGGGGGAAGGAGAGTGGTAGAGAGGAGGAGGGTCACAGGAGGAAGTAACTCAGCTCATTTTCCTTCCTGCCACAAATAGCTCCATAGCTCCGCAGAAGCTGTGGGTGGGGACTGCCCATCCAGGTGGCATTGTGGGTGGTGGTCCCTGTGCTCTGGGCCTCCTGGGCTCTCCTCTTGGGCCTGCCCATCCCAGGCCAGGCCTCCCCTCCCCATCTCTCCAGGCCTATCTCCAAATCTATGAAATGGGCACATCCAAGGCTGGGACCTGGATTCTTGGGACAGAGCCTTCCATATTCTGGTGCCCATCTTGGCCTGATAATGTCTCATGGTGAAGCGCAATATGGCAGCAGAGCCTGGCCAGGGCCTGCACATATCACCTGGCCGGGTCCAGAACCCGTTGCTGCAGCTGCAAGAACGTGGGGAGGTCTGAGTGGTCACCTGTCCGTCCCTCTTCTCTTCCTTATCTTTGTGTTAACAACTGATGAGCAGCAGATTGTGGACTGACATCTCAGAGAAATGTCCCAGAAGCTTGTTTCTGGACTTCAGCAATGAGGACCAGATGACACCACCGTCACCCACAGCTGGTGACGTGGGGCAACAGGGTGCAGGGGAATTTTCCTTGAGGTTTGGGAGATGGGTCAGGAGAAAAAGCCGGGTGGGGCCCATGAAGGGGAGGTGGTTAGAGTGTGTTGGTGTGTGCGCACGTGTCCGTGCGCATGCACAGCTCTGCAGCCAGAAGCTCAAAGCCATTTGGCTGGAGGCCACAGGCCAAGCAAGACTCCAAGGCTTAGAGCAGTACTTGGTCTTAACTCTACAGAGGAATTGATAGTCCTGGAGGGGGGCTGGGTGTTGGTGGCGCATGCTTTTAATCCCAGCACTTGGGAGGCAGAGGCACTGGGATCTCTGTGAGTTCGAAACCAGCCTGGTCTACAGAGCAAGTTCCAGGACAGGCTCCAAAGCTACTACACAGAGAAACCCTGCCTCCAAAAACAAAACAAAAAAGAAGAGAGTCCTGGAGGGGGTGACGGGAAAATAGCCTCTTCATAGTCTGCCATTTATTTATTAATTTATTTAGGCAGGGTCTCATTCTGTATCCCTGGCTGGCCTCAAACTCCCTATGATCCTCCTGCCTCAGTATCCTGAATGCTAGAATGACAGCACCATTGTGGCCAGTGCTCTTCCTCAGTTTCTGGATTCAATTCAGCACCAATGACAGGAACAGGAAGGGCAAAGGCGGAGCCTGGCACGCAGGAAACAGCTTTACAGTAAGAGTCTTCATTTATGTGGTTGTTTTACCTTCCTGTATGTCTGTGTACTATGTGTGTATCTAGTGTACAAAGCATTGGATCTGCTCGAACTGAAGTTATGGATGCTTGTGAGCCCCCACAGAGGTCCTGGGAATTGAACCCTAGGCCTTTGGAAGAGCAGTCAGTGTTCTTGAGCCACCTCTCCAGCCCCATAGGAACAGACTGAGACTGCTCCCCTTGCCCTGGGGAGATCCAGGGAGCAAACAGAACAGGTTCAGACAGGGCTGCCAGACCCAGTGACCCAGTGGCCCAGCGGCCCAGCGGCAGGGTGTGTGCAAGCATGCACATGTACTTGTATATTCTAAAATCCCAGTGTTAGTTCCAAGCAGTATTATTGAGCCTAGTTAGGGATCAAGGTTGGACCACCATTGGGACGCTGTCCTTTCCTGGTTATGCTGTGGTCTTGGGTATGTGGGGATGGGAACGGGGAGGCAGGAGCTGGGAGCAAGAGGTGCCAAGTGAGGCTCAGTGCCCTGTAGTAAGGGCAGGAGCACAGACACTAGCGTGTGCACCTGTCATGGCCACAGATATGCCCGTCAGCTGCTGCTGGCTTTGGGATCCCCTGACGGCCATGGTTTGCTTTTGATCCATGGGAATGGCAGGCAGGCAGGCCTGGCTTGGTCCTCCCAGGGGCCCTGGGGACAGAGCTGGTGGGAGAGACCCCTGGACCTCACTAGTGCACAGCTTTCAGTCTAGTGGGCTCAATTCACTGTCACCAAGGAGGCAGGGAGACCCAGGTCTGGACAGGGACAAAGCAGCTGTGTCCTCCACCCCTCCCCGCCCTCCCCAGGGGACACTCACTGCATGCTGGCCTCTGGGGGGCTCTCCTGGTGCCCATGGCCTTTCTGGTCAGCCTGGTACAGAAGTCATCCTCTGGTGCAGGCAGAGCCAGGACAAATGGTGGCAGCTTTGTTCTATTGCCTTGTTAAGCCAGAGAAGCCAGGTCCTGAGAGGAACACCAGTTGGTAGGCTGTGGCAGAGTTTTCTAGAGTGCCCTTTTTTTTTGGGGGGGGGGGAGTCAAGACAAGGTTTCTCTGTGCTGTCCTGGCACTTGCTCTGTAGACCAGGCTGACCTAGAACTCACAGAGATCCGCCTGCTTCTGCCTCCCAAATGCCGGGATTAAAGGTGTGCGCCATCACCACCTAGCCTAGTTGTTTCTTAAGAGAGGGTCTCACTCTGTAGCCTAGGCTGCTCTCCAACTTGAGGTCACCCTTCTGCCTTGCCTTTTAAACTTTCAGCTAATAGGTATGTGACACCATAGCCCTTGCTTGCCCTCTACCTGTCTTCTCTGACAGGGGACTGTTTTGAATCATGTCCCAGGCATACAGTTCTTGCAGGAGGTTTCTCTATGACAGGATCTACAGCCCAGCCTGCATGGTCCTGTTTGACAATGTGTGAGGGTGTGGTGGATGCTCAGGAAAACAAAACAAAAACACTTTACTGACAAACAGAAGGACACAGGCAGTCGATGGCTACCCTTCAAGATAGGAGCTTCCCTACTTCCCACATTCGGAGGCAGACCAGCAGATCTGGGGGGGTGTGGGGGGGGCACTCACAGGACAGGCAGGGCTCACACATGGATGATCCGTTACAGGCTGGGGACATAGTTGGTAGTCTGCCTAGCATGCACAAAGCTTGGGCTCTATTCCCAGCACCACAGAAGCCTGATGTGGTGCAGCACTTGAAAGATGGAAGCAGGGGAATCCAGAGTTCAAGGTCACCCACAGCCACATATGGAGCTTGAGGCCAGCTTGGGCTAGAAATCTCATTTCCAAACAAAACACACAGTACCTATGATTAAATTTTACTAATGACTATCTAATTCTTCCCATCTGTGGGACTTTTTCCTGTGTCTATCCTTTAGAGGCTGAACTTCTGTCAGACCTTGTAATCAGTCAAAAACATGCTGTGAGACCTCTTAAAACCACGTCCTCAGCCTCTTCAATTTAACCGGTCCTTGAGATAACAAAGCACCTACCTTTCTAGCCCTGATCTTCACACACCATCAGTCATTGCAAGCTTAGCTACAGACTGTCCTCTTTAATGCCTAGGGCTCTGAGGGACTGGGTTTGATTTCCATTAGTCACCGGCTGAAACAATCTTCAATTACCAACTTTCTATAAATGCCGGAAGCAGCATGCATGTGCATATAGGTTGGTAACAACTGTAAAAACTTATGACCCATTCCTTCCCCATACCATGTCTTCTGGGCTGCTCAATACAGAGCAGAGCTCTTTGTAAAGACAGGGGAAGTGGAGAATTCAAACTTGGGGTTCCCTCTTTTACTCCTTAATGTGACAGGGATACAACTTCCTACTTGACACTTCCCACTACTGTTCGCTTCCTTTTTTTTGACAGTTTCACACTAGGCCAGGCTAGTCCCACCGTGCTTGGTTACAGCTGGCCCTTGGCTACCCAGGGACGGGAGAGGTTCCCCGTGCAGTCACCTTTGCTGTCTTCATGGTGGTTAATGATGAGACCAGCCAGCGAGGCAGAACATCTGCCTGTGTCCTTCCTGGAGAGGGAAACTGCAATTGTAGAGCCGTCCTGGGCAACAGTACCCAACAGGGTGCCTGCCAGTAGTGTTTCCATCCCGGGCACCCCTCCCCAACTCCCCCAGCACAGAGATCTATTCTGTTTTCTTCAGAGAAGGGCAGACCATCAGGGCGTGATTTCAATTTACTTCTCAAATACAAGGTAGCTAGGATGTAGTGCAGGGACACAGTGTGTACTTAGTGTGCAGCTCATACCCGCAAATAGCAAGGAAATTCAGATTTGTTAGAATGAGGACACACACATTAGAAATGCATGCTGACCATCTTTATTGTTTGAACCCTGACAATGACAGCCATGTGTGTTAAGACACATCTTGAGAAAATGAGGCCTAAACATCATGGTCAGTTGGGGTCAAGCCATGGAGTGCAAAGCTGGGCTGTGGAGGCTAAGACAAGGTCGTACCAATTCAAGGAGGGTCTGGGCTAGAGTGGGGATCCCAACATAAACCCAGAATATATTGCAGAAAGGCCACTGGGCTTAGGATTAGTGCTCTCCAGTTCACTGGTCCTACTCCAAGCCAAGGTCTATGTGACTACGTAGCTGAAGATAACTCCAGAATGCTGGAGTTACAGGTGTTCACTCACAGCCATGCCAGGCTTTTTCTAACCTTTGAGATTTTATTATACGGCTGCTTGCATGTCTATCTTACACTATGTACATGCAGTACCTAAGAAGCCCAGAAGGGGACACCTGGTAACCTGGGACTGGAGTTACAGGTGGTTGAGAGCTACCATGTGGGTACTGTAATCAAACCAGGGTCCTTGGAAGAGCAGCCAGTGAGTGTTCTTAGCAGCTGAGCTACCTCTCCAGGCCCTCACTGCACCCCACAGCTTTCTCTTGTGCTTTGAAGCCCAACATGATCCAAGGAAATAACTCGTAGCCCCGTTCTGGAATCTTCATACCACTGCCAGGGTCCCCAGTGCTGCAGGAGTGGCGGTTAATTGCTTGGCCAGTGTTCCCTGTTCCCCACTGCTGATGACATCACAAATGACACCTGCAGCCCTCCCACCCCAGGCAGATAGAAGACAGGGCCCATGTGGCGCTCTCAGTCAATGGCGCCAACCCAAAGGCACAGGACTAACTGACCCATCCGTCAGCAGTGCCTGCCGAGTCTTGGACCTTTCCTCACCACTTACTTACACTCACAGCGGGTCTGATTTCACAAAATTTTCTTTATTTAGAAAAGCAACATTTGATCATGGACCACAGAAACTACAGCAGAGTACAAGAAATAAAACAGACCAAGACATGACTGCTGGCCTTCAACACCGAGGACAATTGTGACTAAGATGGTAAGCAAATCTGCTGTCACTCTGGGCCCCTGCCACAGAAGCTCACAATCTAGGGGTGAGGTAGCCAGTACAGAACAGTTGCTAGCTCAGTGAGCCTCGGTGACTGGAGGTTCTGGGGCACATCTCCCCCCAGGTGAGTTTCCTGGCCACTGTCTCCTTTGGAGTGCTCTGTCACAGCTGCACTGCAGTGACTGAGGGATGAGGTGGATGAGTTAGAACTGAAACTGCCACGAGGCAGCCCTGAATCTAAAACGCTGGGCTAGAGCTCAGTGGCAGCATTCACGCCTGGCTCCAGAGTACACAGGCTACAATGAGCGAGCGCCATGTCTTGCACAACTTCTGCCAGCAGCCCCGTCAGTCAGGGAGCCCCTCCCTCCTGCCCACGTGGTACTAGTCGAAGGCAATGCGCAGGCTGCGCTCCTGCTCCTTACGGCGGCCCTCACACACACGGCTGGCCTCCTCCACCCTCCTCTGCAGCAGGGCAGAGCTCTGGTCCACCCACTGAAGGGAGTCCATGTGTGCATTAAGGATCTTGCAGATCTGCTGCAGTGGGTCACTGGTGTCCGCAGGGCCACCAGCCATGTTCAGGTGCTCGATGATGTCCTTGAGGTCCTGTGCCATGCGCTTGAGCTGCGCATCGATGTTCTCAGCCAGCTTGAAGGTCTTCTCACGCTCCTCGTCGGCATGCTGAAGGTAGATGGTGCTACTCTGCTCCTTCACTGACTCCTCCAATGGACTCAGCAGGTCCTCCAGCTCCTTCTGCTGTGACAGGATGAAGTCCAGCTCCTGATCCAGCCGCTTCTGATCCAGCTTCACCTTCTCCACCTCGCGGTGCAGACTGGTGATCTTCTCCCCATTCTCAATCAGTGTGCGGTCCCAGGCATTGACCTGTGTGGCCTGCTGCAGGAAGTGCCGCTCCTGATCCTCCAGCTCCAGGCTCCACTTGTTGATCAGGCTTTCCAGCTGTGCGTAGGTCATGGCGGGACCTGTGGTGGTCCCAGCTGCTGTGCCGGAGACAGGCAGAGCAGTCCCAGAAGTGGCTGCACTGCTGGGGCCAGCTGGCACCAGGGGTTTCAGGCTCAAGGCAAAGCCGGTGGAGGTGGTGGAGGTGGTGGTGGAGGTGGAGCTGGTGGTGGAGGTGCCAGGAGCTGCTCCAGGGGCCTTGAGGCTGAAGCCCAGAGTCCCAGCACTGGGAGCGGCTGCAGTTGTCACCGGAGCTGAGAGGGAGAGCACCGTGGGGCTGGGTGAGGCAGGAGCAGGTGCTATTGAAGCGAACAGTGTGGAGCCTGTACTGGTGGTGGCGGCAGTGGGGGCGGCGGACGCTGGCTGTGTGGCCCCTGCTGTAGTGGTCACCAGCGTGGCTGGGGTGAAGGGAGAGCCAGACAGTGCCGTGGGCTGGGCTGAGCTGCCCACAGAGCCGATGCTGAAGCCAGAGGCTCCAGGCTGGGCGGCATTGCCACCGGTGAATGAGAACCCCGTGGAGCCCGTAGCCGGAGCAGAGGTGGTGGAGGACCCAAAGACAAAGCCAGTGGGGGCTGTCCCCTGGCTGGAGGCCCCGGCACTCGAGATGGCATTGGTAAGGGTGCTACTGCCAAGACCAAAGCTGCCAGTGTTGGCCGTGGCGGGTGTGGCAGCTGTGTTACTCAGGTTGAGCTTAGGGGCGCTGATCCCCAGGGAGAAGCCAGTTCCTCCAGAAGCAGGCGTTGTTCCAAAGTTGAACCCTGGCGTCTGTGTAGCTGGGGCCTGTGTGGTGAGTGAGAAGAGGCCAGTGGAGGGGGTGGTCGTGGCCGGTTGGGAGGGGGTCCCGAAATTAAACCCTCCAGTGCCGGAAGTAGAGAAGGAGAAGCCGGTGGCAGGTGTGGTGGTCGCAGTCTTCGCAGTGCCAAATGTAAAGCCGCCAGCAGGGGCCCCGGTGCCTCCAAAGTTAAACCCACTCATGGCTGTGCAATCTCCAGGTGGCAGTTACTCCGACTCTGGGGCAAATCCGTCAGCGTCTGCAACCTTGGGGAGGGTTCTAGAGCAGAGGAAGTGACATGGTCAGATGGCAGTTTGGGCCGGGCAAGCTCAGTGGTGTGGAAGGTAGCGGGCTGGAGGCAGCGCTGGCAGCAGCCCTGCCCCTCCCTTTGCTAACCTAAGCAGCTCAGGAAACCAACTGGAGTTCATTATTCCAGGGCATGTGCAGCTCCCGTCACCGGGAGAAGGCCACGCAGTCCACAAGAGTCCACAAGAAGGCACTCTAGTGAGTGGGACCAGGACACAAGGGCACCTGCAAGCCAGCTCTCCCAGGCGCCAGGACTCCCCTTGATTCTTAGGCTACAGTAGGTCCGGACCTGCGTCCTCCTAACTCAGGGTGGGCCTGAGAGCTCATCCAGTGCTCAGGGATAAATAGAGACCCAGGCCAGCCAGTCAGATGTCACCTGGGGCTCTCCTCCAGGTGGAAGCGAGCAGTTGCCATCAGTGACGGGTGGAAGCACAAAGGGAAGGGGAGGGTAAGCTAAGAACAGCCACAGCCCACCCCACTTAGCGCACTGGACTTGTGAAGAGCAAATGCAAACAGCTCCAGGCAGTGCCACCCAGCTGCTGGTCCTAAAGCTTATGCAGGGAGGAAGGCCGCAGGGTTCCTGTCCCACCCTCTGTCTGCTGCTCTGGACCCTAAGTCTGTGGTAGGTTGTTGGTAACAACCTGAGGAAATAAAGACAGCTGTCAGGGGTACTGAGCAGTGGACGTGATTTGGGGTGCTCACTGTCCCTGTGACATTTGTGGGTATTGTCAATGCCCAGCTGTGAAGTTCCTAGGAAAGGCCCGGTGTGGCTAACCTCGGGTTTACTATGAATTTAGTCTGTGGCCCTGCTTAGTGAGTCATCGGGCTGTGACAGGAATCACAACAGCAGTCCAGAGGCTTCTGGGAAGCAGCCCCTGCCCCACTGTGGGGACCGCACCACGTGGTACTCTCCTTCCCTGCCCCGCAGCTGTCCCAGGGGAGATGAGTCTGTGGAGAGTGCACAGAAGGGTGATGGGACTCAGGAGGAATCAAGGTTGGGTTCCATGTTCCTTTACTGAAGACAGCCAAGGTGTGCTCTGACCTCTGGCCCTGCCCTTGAGCTCACGGGAGCTTCTGTTATTTTACTCTCAAAAGGCCACAGCCAGTCCACCGTGGCCGTTAGCACACAGACAACTCTGGCATGGCCGACTTCCCCACTGGTGAGCACGTGGACTGAATGAGTTACAGCTGCCCAAGCACCCAACCAGCTACGCTTCACACCTCAGTTAAGAACACGGTGGAAAGCGAGCTTTAGGTTTCAGTGAACTGCAGCTGAGAATTCTCTTTTATACAACGTTTGTTGTAGTTACTAAAAAAACTGTCAAGCCCCCATGGTGCCAAGGTGTTGTGACACCGTAAAGTCACCAGCTCACACCACAGTACCAGGACATGTGGCAGTATAGCTCTAGGAAGTGAAGCTATCAGGCCAGTCGGGACTGGGGAGGGAACCCAAATGCCTGGAACACTCTGCCAGACAGTCTATTCTAATGTGACATATAGTGGCATCAGAGGCCACAGGGCTGACCCTCAGCTGAGCTTTCCTGGCTTCACACAGCACTCAGCTGCACCTGGAATGTGGCTCCCTTCCCAGTCCATGACACCTCCATGATGCTGATGGCTTAGCTACCCATATACCTCTGCTAGAATGGCTATCAGTATGCAATACCACATGTGAGGTTCAGAAACTGAAAGGTGGGAGCCACCCAGTCCTGCCAACACTGGGGAAGACAATGGTATTGGTTATGGCATCAGTGTTGGCATAGCCAAACACCATGCCAATGACTCAGACCTTTTTTTTATTAAAAAGGAGTTCTCACTATATAGCCTAGAACTCACTATGCATGCCAGTTTGGAGGCCTGCTTGTCTCTGTACCCTCAACTCTGACTTTGTTAAAGGGACCTTACAAGTATGGGGCTAACTGGGAGAGGAAGTTGGAAGCGACAGGTTGGGAAGGTGGGGTGATGAGGAGGTCAGGAACTTTCAACTTCTCTGGGAAGAGATAAAGCACAAAGCAGGGCCTGCCTCATTGACAACGTGGTGACCCCCCCCCCCCAAGAGGGACCAGGCAGCAGCCAGTTCCTGGTAACAGGCTCACAGCATGGCACGTGAGCTACACAAGGAGGCTGGGAGTCACCCGGGCTGCTGCCTTCTTCCAGCCCCTGATCACCAAGCACTCTTCCCAGCTCCACAGCCTCCCATCCATCTCTTGGTTAGTTTTCTGAGCCAGGCTGGCTGCCTTTGCTTCTGCCTGAGTGGTGTTTTATATGAGCCTTGAAAGAAGCCAAGCGAAGACCGGGCATTCATGAGTACGTCACTGTGTATTCATTTGGGAGCTGGGTGGCGGGCCCCAAAGAGAAAGAGTGAAAGACCAAAACCCCTCAACTCCATAAGAATGGGAGGCAGAAGAGGTCACAAACCAGAAAGTTCTATCACCCCATGTGCAGAACAGAGCTTTATCAAGCAGTCTAGTGAGTGTGTGTGTGGGGAGGGGGACGCGGGGACGGCAATGCGCAAGAGGGAGGTGTTGATGCTGCTCCACCAGGGCCACATGTGAAGACACACGGATGACAGCGTCTGTCTGTTTTGTTCTAGGTACTAGGTAAGCTCCAGGGCTAGTCTGGACAAGAGCCGGTCCAGTAACTGCCATATTACACCACAGCACCAGTCAGAACACCATTTACCAGGCCCTGGAACCTTCCCGAATAGAAACAGGATCAAAGAGGACATGGGATGTAACCTTTTCAAGGCAACAAAGCAGAGGCCTGGGCTAGCCATTGTGACTGAGTGAAGCCCCCACTTTCTCACAGACCTAAAAGGAGAGCACAGGGGCTTCTCTGTCACTTGCCTGGCATGACATAGCACAGCACAAGGACAAGGGCAGGCCCCACAGTCCACCCGACACCCACCCTCCACTCCCAGCCCTGAGACCTGAGTCCTAAGGTTGGCCCCGGCCTCAGGTTCTCCATCTGAAAAGCAAGGGTAGTAAAGAATGGATGGAAATCAGATCCCTGTCAGGTGCTAGCTGAGGAAACAACTTACTAGTCAGGCTTTGTCATGGCATACAGCCAACGGCCACCAGGTGGTGCTGTGACAATGCAAAGCCGGAGGACTGGACAGCAAGCATCTAGCTCTCTGAGAGGACCTTCTGCTTTGAGACAGTTAATAGTTTTAAGAATTCCAATAAGATGGGACCTAGTGGCACACGCCTGCACTTGGCAGCACGGTAGAAAGTGGAATCAGGAGGAACAAGGGTTCAAGGTCTGTCAGCTACACAGTGAACCTGAGACCAACTCAGGCTATATGAGATCCGGTCTTTTCGCCCTTCTAACCAGAAATTTTGCCTTGCTGAGACAAAATCTGTGGATCACAGGCCACCAGAGAGGGAAGGAGGAGAGGCAGAGGGAAGCTGATCCCTGGGAGACTCAGACACACCACAATGTGCCCCACGCAGCCTTGCAACCACCCCACCCCCACTCCACTGCCCCCTCACGGAAGAAAACCCTCAAACCACAATCAACTCCCTGTGTCTTCCAGCAGCAAAGCAAGCAGTGCCTTCTAGCGGAAAGGCTGAGACAAGAGGGCATCTTTGAGTCTGAGGTAACCTTAAGGTGGCCAGCCAGCCTAGCACCAGAAAGGCCAGGTCCATGGGAAACCCTGTCTCAGTAAGGTGAAGAGACTCCGCATGGACCTCTGTCCTCCAAAGCCATGTGTAGCAGGCTTTCTTTGACCACCAGCCCCCAAATCATGACATGGAGACATTATTAATTATGAATGCTTGGCCTTAGCTTAGTCTTGTTTCTAGCTAGCTTTTAAGCAAACAAACAAAAAACCACTTAAATTAGCCAATTTCATGAAGCGCTGCCTGAGGCTTGTTCACCTCATCTAGGCACTGCCCACCCTGCTGCCCCGCTTCCCCTGCGTCTGTCTGTCTGTCCGGGTGGGCGGGCACTCGGCTGGCTCCCTTTTGTTTTTGCCAGTCTTGCCTACCCCTCCTCTGCCTGGCTATTGGCTGTTCAGAGTTTTATTAGACCAATCAGGTGCCTTAGGCAGGCAAGGTAAACTAACAACACAGCTTTACATGAAGAAATGTAGCACACCTTTACTTGAACTAATATTCTACGCCACAACAGGCATGCACACAAATGCCCTCACACCTGCACATATATAAAGGAACAGATAGGCGCCTGTCCCTCCCCACACCTGGTGGTCTGATCACATGCCGTGGGTTCAACACTAAAGACACCACTGACCCAGGCTGTCACCTATGCTTCTGTCTAGAGTCTCCTGAATGGAGACCTGGTCTGGAATCTCAGATTCTGCTGCCCTGGCTGTTGGGATCATGGGGTACCAGCACCCTACTCAGTTTTTCCACAAGGCTTCTAAACACGTAGGCACTTTCCCTTTCCAAACACCAAGAATGGGACGTAACATCAAGTAAAGGCACTTACTGTAAAGCCAGCTGACCCGAGTTCCACCCATAGGACTCATAAGGCAGAGAAAGCTGACTCCCAAAAGCTGTCCTGACTTCCTCCTACAATGTGTGCACCCACATAAAATAAAAATGACTTTAAAAAGGGGGTGGCGGCTGCTATTCAAGTACCATTTCCTGCACTTATCTGAGAAAATACAACCTGCTGTACTGTGGTGATGTGTCCTCAAGATTAACAGTGCTGTCCCTACCACCACCAGGGCCAAGCAGAAGCAACCTTGGAGACCAGCAGTGCCCCACTGACTTCAAGGTTGGTATTCATAACCTGACGGCGGCACAGTGAGCCACATGCACACACACCCGCACACACACACGTGCGCGCACACACACCCAAACGTGCATACACACCCACACACACACACACCAAGCACCTCACAGACACTGAACACAAGCTCAGCCTGACCTATAAGCTAAGTGGCAAGGGGTGGGAGGGAGTTTTCTGAGTTGGGTTGAAGTCCGGAAGGTGAGGAAAGGGAGGAGGGC